GTCAAACAGGGATTAACCTCTGACCCACTTCAGGTTCATCCGGTGACCTCCGACCTTTTCTCTACACTTCACTACAAACCCTAGTCCAACACCTCAGCTTGTACTAGCTTTTGATCTTATCTCACACTTTACTTACTGACAGCACAGTAGTACTACTGCAACCAGACACCGCGGACCTTCACTGCTGATCTGGCAACCCTGGAGTCAAGCATAGTCAGCTTGTGGCTTGTGTGACCTTTATTCACACTTAGAGCACAGTAGTAGGCTACTAGGCTACCATACAGCCTCTCTCCTTTACCTTTGATCTGGCAACCTTAACTCAAGACCCAGCAAGACCCTTCCTCACTTTAAATCTGTGGCAACTGTTGCTCAAGATCTGTAAACAATCACTGGTTCCCAAGTCAAAGACCTCATCCTGTAGCATATGTGTCACTTTTTCTTTCCCTCACTCCACCTATTACCCCTCCCTCCCTCCCTCCCTCCCTCCCTCCCCATAGATCTTAATTGACAAACATAACTGGCATCCTTACCCACGGCCTCTGTCTCAAGCTGCCCCAGGGGAGTGCTCCGGGCCTGGGCCAAGCTGCATTCAACACCTGGTTTCGATTACCTCCATACACAAAGACTGACACTAATAAGGCTCAGAATCCAACAGAGCCCTGGGGGCCTTTGCCTGTTTCACACACGCACACACACACAAACACTGTAAATAAAAGCGGTTGTTTTAAATCAAGACCAGATGTGGCCTGGTTGGTTGGACGTGGCTGCCCGCACCACTGCCTGATGGAAATGAACCTGTCATGTTTTATGGGGAGGTGTTTGACTCGGGCGCCGGTGAGGTGGAGGGGGAGAGGGATGGGGTGGTGGTTTTTAAGGTTGAGTTTTGCCAGGTCAGCAGTGGTAGTACTACCGTAAGACGTAATGTGTGAGTAGAGGTCTTAAGCTACAAGATGAAGTGTTGTGCCGCTGAGGTAACGGTGAGGATGCCAGGTCAGAGGGAGAGTGACGTACTACTGTACTGTAGGTAAAGTGTGAGTAGAGGGCATAAACACAGCATTCAGGGTTTGACATGGGCGCCCGTGGGGGGAGGTAGGGTTGCCAGGTCTTAGGTTGCCAGATCAGCAGTGGGAGAGTGACGTAGCCTACTACTGGAAGTATACTGTGAGTAAAGGTGCTTAGGATACAGACAGGCAGTACATTTCAGTCATTTAGCAGACACTCTTATCCAGAGCGACTTACAGTTAGTGAGTGCATACATTTTCATACTGGCCCCCCGTGAGAATCGAACCCACAACCCTGGCATTGCAAACGCCATGCTCTACCAACTGAGCTACAGAGGGCGCTAGCATAGTACTGATACCTCTGTCCTGTCTGTCCTGTTTATGCAGAGTTAGAGGGAGGTAGAGGAAGAGATTGTAATGAAAGGAGATAGAGACGGTCTTGTAAAGGTTATAGGTAGGCGGGACAGACTCTGTGCTCCCTCCCCAGTCTATGGTAGAAGTTAGCAGGAGGTAGAGGAAGAAATTATAGGTGGTAGGAGGGAGAGACCTTCTTGTAAAGTCATACATGATTTATGGACCTACAGGACTACATAGGAAACTACTACCACCGCTAGCCCTGTAGTCTGTTAGTAGGGTGGTAGTATGTCATCTATCCCTCACTTATTTATGATAGTCTTTGGAAGCAAGTCTATTAAGACCACTATGGAGCAGTAGAGAGCAATGGTAAAGAGCAATGACAGTAAAAAATAGGACAGAGACAGAGAGTTTATAGGTGGAAGGGAAAGGCTGTATTTTAAAGTTCTGCTGAAGATATGGTTTATCTGACTGACAGACATTCACAAAAGTCAACTACAACTGCTTAGCTCTGTCATGTCCGTCTATCTGTCCTCTGGCTGCCTGACTGACTGACTGACAGACTGACAGTCATTGTAGCTAAGCAACCGACAGAAACTCCTTTGCGATGCTGAGTACTCAGATAAAGTCGTGCCAGCGTCAGTCTGCTGTCACTCACAACTCCTTCCCTGTGCCCATGACTGCCTCACAGTCTAGGGTCGCTTCAGAACTGTTACAAAGGTCAATAGGTCAAAGGTCAAGAGTAAAAGGTCCGATTCACCCTGACTTGTCAACTCAGAGTACTCAGAGGGAACTCATACGAGGACATCAACTGACATTTCAGAGGATTCTGCTTGACAGTGTGAAAACCAGAAAAAAAGATCACTCTCATCCACTCACTCTCAAACCCCCCCCCACACCACCACATTATAAACACAAAAGTGCTCACTGGCACGCTAAGGCATAGCTGATGTTAGAGAACGTCCTCAGAAGTAGAAATAGTTATATTATTTATATTAACATAACTACGCCATCAGGAAGCCGTTCTGGCATGAAGGTAAGTAGTCTACGTTTCATTAGTAAACAACAAATAAGCAGCCAATGAGGCGCTAATCCACATGAAGTTTGATGAATTCAATCGATTTACATTTTACAAGGCTATTACCGACCCCGTGTTTAATGCCTACCGCCACTGTGGGTGTGTGTCTGTGTGTGTACTCTCTTCAAGGTTGCCATAGCGATGAATATAGCTAAGGTCACCATGAACTATATATCTGATCTAGCCAATCATATTTTATACAACATGCTTCTGTGTGCGAGGCACTTCAGGGCTTTTATATACTACTAACACATAGAGGTCATTGTTTGACTGAGTGGCTGGCTAACTTCTGGGCACTCTAGTCTAAATGACAGGGGCTGCTGAATGTTATGTGAACGTTACATAAAAGTTGTAGCCTACAACCTCGAAACAATGGACCTCAGTTATGGTCAGACTGACTGATCATTGTGTTCTCCATTGACTGGATAGTGAATGGTTAAATACAATCAATATAAGAGCAGGTGATATAAATGAAAGGATCTGCTGAAAGACTACAATGTGAATGTTATGTGAATGTTACCTAAACGTTACACAACCCACAAAATGACAGGTTACCTCAGCAAATGTTCTCAATTGACTTGTCTTGTCAATCCTACACCCCCAAACCTATGTGAACTTTCCGCCACTTCTAAATGTGATGAGTTTACGGCATATTTCAGAGATAATATAACAAACATTAAACTGGGTATCAGTCAAGCAAGACCTGATTCATGATATGTGCCCTAGCCTACCACACAAAGGCTATGGATTTATTTTCCCTGGTTGACACAGACATGCTCAGGAAAGTGATATCACAACTTAAGCCTTCTATCTGCCTTCTCGATCCTATCCCCACCACCTTCTTCAAAACAGTTTTTAATTGCATATCTGAAGAAGTGCAAGCTATTGTTAATCACTCACTGTTCACAGGCACATTCCCCACTGCACTAAAAACTTCTATGGTGAAACCCTTTCTGAAGAAAAGTAATCTAGATTTTTCTGCTCTTAGCCATTTTTGGCCAGTCTCCAACATTCCATTCTTAAGCAAAATTCTGGAGAAATTGGTTTTCAAACAGCTAAATGATTTTTTAAGTGCCAACTGTATTTTTGAAAAACTACACAGCACAGAGACAGCCTTAGTTAAAGTGGTAAATGATCTTAGAGCCAACACAGATTTCAAACTGCTCTCTGTCCTTGTACTCTTAGATTTAAGTGCTGCATTCAACACTGTTGACCATGATGTCCTTCTGGATAGACTAGAGAGGTTGGCCTCTCCGGTCCAGTTCTAAATTGGTTTAGGACCTATTTAACTGGTCGAGAATTTTTTGTCACCCTTGGTGAACATAACTCAGAGAAAATACATATCACATGTGGCATTCAACATGGTTCGATTTTGGGTCCGGTACTGTTGGCAGCGTTATCAGAAAGCACAGCATTGATTTTCACTGCTAAATTATTAGACTGTATTGGTGATTTAAATACTTGGATGGCTCACAACTTCCTCCAGCTAAATCAAGACAAGACTGAGGTACTTATTGTTGGAGGCAAAGCACAGAGAGAGAATCTGGCCGCACATTTTAATTCACGGGCAATAAAGATGAAACACCAAGTAAAAAACCTAGGTGTTATTTTAGATTTTGAACTCAATTTCAAATCACACATTAGGAATGTGACTAAAACAGCTTTTTACCACCTGAGGAACATTGCCAAGCTGCGTCCGTTTCTCTCTCATGCTCATACAGAGAGACTCATCCATGCTTTTATTACAAGCAGGCTTGACTACTGTAATGGTCTCCTGTCTGGTCTACCCAAGAAAGCCATTGGTCAATTGTAAAACATACAGAATGCTGCAGCACGGGTCTTTGCACTGGCTGCCTGTGAGTTTTAGAATTAATTTTAAGATTCTTCTACTGGTTTTTAAATCAATCCATAATTGTGCACCCCAGTACGTGTCAGACATTTAAGTTATGTACCCAGTAGGTCCCTCAGGTCCTCTCGCACTGGCCTTTTAACTATCCCAAAGCCTAGGACCAAGAGGCATGGAGAGGCATCCTTTAATTACTATGCCCCACAGCCTCTGAAATAGCCTGCCAGAGAACCTGAGGGGCGCGGAAATTGTTGACATATTTTTAAAATATTTTAAAACACACCTTTTATTTTCCTTAGGGTGATTTTTAGTCTTTCAGTTTTTGTTATTCTTTTGTTTTTTATCCTCATGTTTGTTGTGTAGTAAATATTTCAGTTTCATATTTAATTGTTTTTTTAAATTTCTTCTTGCAAAGCACATTGTGTTGCATTCCATGTCTGAAATGTGCTGTATAAATAAAGCTTGATTTGATTTAAATTAATTTAGGGGCAGCGTCTACTGAAAGAGTGTAAATGTTATGTGACTGTTATATGAAAATTGCATAAACGTTACAACCCCAACCCCCAAAAAACGATGTGTCAGTTACCTCAGCAAACTGTAGCCTGGTGAAGCTACTGTATATAAGGAACGTGTACTTCTGAAAGATTACAGTGTTATTGTTCTGTGAATGTTATGTGAACATTACCTAAACGTTATACAACTATAAAAGAATGATAGTTACCTCAGCGAACTGCAGCCTGTTGAAGGTGCTGGGCGGGGAGGCCACCTTGTAGGTCTTCCTGGGCATTACCCAGGTCTCCAGGGTCTCCAGCTTGCTGGTTGCCAGGTTGGTGGCGTGGTGCTTGACCAGGTAGCCCTGGAACTGGTCCGACTGGAAGTAGAGATGCACTGACACCGGATGGCCCATGGGGAAATACCTGGCAACCCAAGAGAAAATATACTTATTTTTAACCAACCTTTCTCAACAGACCTTTATCAGTAGCCTGAGTGCAGGTCTGTTTGTGCTATGATGCCAACTCTGTCACTGATTTTGAAAAAGACAGCAATAGAGTTGACAAGAACACAAACAAATCTGGGACCAGGCTACTTTATCAGGGTTTTACCTGGCAACACCAGTGGCAACTCAACAGACAGACCCATTGTGATTCCCATTAGTGAACTTGATATGGTACCGGTGCTGTTTAAAAGGGCAATGGTGTAAGATGAGAGTATATAGATTCATCTATTGGACACTGACTGGAAACTGGACTCCTTACAAATGCTAATGTTTGTAGATGCTAAAGTTCACTAGCGGGGCCATGCTAATGTCTCAGATGCTAAAGTAAAGGTTAGGGGGATGTGCTGTGCTTTTGTGATTGTGTGAGGGAGGAGGCATCAATGACCTATGAAACATCTGTTGCTGTGGAGACATTTTGTTAAGGCTAGGGGCAAAGAGAAAGGGATGGGCAGACTGACTGAGACCGGACTGTAGTTGTAGCCTGCCCCGGACCAGAACAATACAGTCATTGGGTATATTGGCAGTAATATATTAGGTTAGTCACAGCCCGATGCCTCTGAAGATAACCATGACACACAGATTCATAACACACACATTGTCTAATACAGCAGTTCCCAACCTTTTCCATTCCGGGGACAACCAAATCAGCGTCAAAAGCTCTTGAGGACCACCATTCGCGGAGTCACAGAATTTCTTTACATAAAATATGTATTTCTCATGAAGCTGGTTCAGAGAATGCCAAGAGTGTGCAAAGCTGTCATCAAGACAAAGGGTGGCTACTTTGAAGAATCTAAAATATATTTTGATTTGTTTAACACTTTTTTGGTTACTACATGATTCCATTTACATCATTTAGCAGACGCTCTTATCCAGAGCGACTTACAGTTAGTGAATGCATACATGTTTTTTTTGTTTTCATACTGGCCCCCGTGGGAAACGAACCCACATCCCTGCCAGCCAATTGTGCGCCACCCATGGGTCTCCCGGTCGCGGCCGGCTGCGACAGAGCCTGGACTCGAACCAGGATCTCTAGTGGCACAGCTAGCACTGCGATGCAGTGCCTTAGACCACTGCGCCACTCGGGAGTTTACATTTACATCATTTAGCAGGAGTGTGTACTTCCATATGTGTTCTTTCATAGTTTTGATGTCTTCACTATTATTCTACAATGTAGAAAATAGTAAAAATAAAGAAAAACCCTAGAATGACTAGGTGTGTCCAAACTTTTGACTGGTACTGTATATATATAGAAAAATAATGTGTGGAACAGGTGGTCCTCGGACCACAGGTTGAAAACCACTTGTCTAAAACAAGTCAGCTGAGGTCAGGGACACACAAACAAAAACACACACACTAACAAAGCTGAACTGGTCTGGGGCACCATTAAGAAGTCAGCTTGATCTTACAATCAGCGTGCCAGTCCAGGCTACTCCTGACGGTTATTATTCTGGGGGCTGTGTGTGTGTGTGGAGGAAGTGTTTTTTCTATTTCTGTACATGTGGCAGAAGGCTGGCACTGAGGGCAGAGCAGAGGAGTGAGGAGAGACTACTGGGAAAATAAACAGGGTCCAGGGTGGGTACTGCTGGGGAACAGAACAGAACACTGCTGATCTCCAATCCACACACACCCCTCCCTCCCTTCCTTCCTCTTTCTTTCAAACCCTCCTCCCTCACTCCCCTCCTATCCTTCTCATCCACACACTTCTCTCTCTCCATGCTCCCTCTCACTCCACCCACCTCTCTCTCCCTCTCTCTCTTCTCCCATCCTCCCCACGCCCCAGTGCCCACCGTGTATGCCAGCCTCTTCATCAGTATTCCAGTAGTAGGACCAGAAGGAGATAGTTTGCCCGTCCCAGCCCGACAGCGCTAGCTACCCTGACAAGCAGAACAGCAAATATTTACACCTGCTCACGGATAGCACTCCACACCCTTCTCTCTCTATCCCTCTCTCTCTATCCCTCTCTTCCTCCCTCCCTCGTTCCCACTATATAGGGAATAGGGTGCCGTTTGGGACACAGCCAGAGATTGGCAGAGATGTGTATGATGGCCCGTAGCAACATAGCAGCACTAATCATTAAGGTTTCACCACTCTCTGAGACTGAGTCAGTTACACAGTTATTTATTACAGACCTGTAGGGTGGGACTGAAGTACTCACAATTTGAATTATACATTGACTCTTGGGGATGCCTGATGTTGACGTCTTTGACAATTGTGTGTCTGTGTGCTAGAGAGAGAGAGAGAGGTAGAGAGAGAGAGAGGCAGAAAGAGAGAGAAAGAGAGAGTGATAGAGATAGAGATAAAAAGAGAGGTAGAGAGAAAGGGAGAGAGAGGATATGCAGAAAGAGAGAGAAGGGAAAGTGATAGAAAGAGAGAGAGAGGTTGAGAGAGAGAGAAGGGAGAGTGAGATAGAGAAACAGAGAGAGAGAGTTTGAGAGAGAGCGAAAGAGAGAAGGCGAAAGAGAGAGATCATAGAGTGAATGGTACGAGATGGGAGAGAGGGAGAGAGAGAGCGAGAGAGACAGGGAGAGAGAGACAGGGAGAGAGAGAGAGAGAGAGAGAAAGAGAGAGAGAGAGAAAGAGAGAGAGAGAGAAAGAGAGAGGGACTGGGGCTGCAGATACACAGAGCCTCCATTCAGCCTTTCCCTCCACTCCCTCACCACTGGAGTCACAGCAGGCTGTGAAAAGACAGAAATCCCCCCTCCTCTTCTCCGTCTCTCCTTCTCTCCATCCCCCCGTGGCAGCCCCACCCTGATGTCTCATACAAACACCGTAAGCTCTACAAACATAGCCTCTCATGGCCCCAAATATTGCCCTGTGTGTGTGTGTGTGAGTGTGTGTGTGTGTGTGTGTGTGTGTGTGTGTGTGTGTGTGTGTGTGTGTGTGTGTGTGTGTGTGTGTGTGTGTGTGTGTGTGTGTGTGTGACAGTTGGGTGTGGGTATGTTAGTGTGAAAGACTGAAAATTGCTTGTTTCCTCGCAGCAAATTATTTTCTCACATGCTCATGATCCCACAATTAGAGATTTGCAGACTGACACATACACTCACAGATGCCCTATTGCTCTCACACACATTATGTACACACACACACACACACACACACACACACACACACACACACACACACGCACACACACACACACACACACACACACACACACACACACACACAACCTTGTTTCCCTTCCTTCTCACTTTACAGGCAGAGACATGAGTAGAAACAGCTGTAGTTAAACGATAGATGGAGTGTGTGTGTGTGTGTGTGTGTGTGTGTGTGTGTGTGAGTGTGGGTAGCTAGATGAAAACATGCTTCCTCTCGTCTTCACTCTATACCCAGAGAGCCCTGCAGCTACCCACAATGCAGCACTCCCTGCCTGCCTGCCATCCATCCTGCTTATGTGGAACTATATCTAAAACTGACTCAGCTAATACAAGCTTCCAGCAGCAGAAACATGGCAGTATACTACATGTCACGTTGGTTGTAACATTGACAATTTCACCAGAAATATAAAGTCCAGAATATACAGGTAACTGACAAAATAATGGAAACACTTGAGTAAATGGGGGATACAAAGTATATTGAAAGCAGGTGCTTCCACACAGGTGTTGGTACCAAATTATGGAATTTCTCATGGAAGAATTGTGTCGCATCCCTCCAATAGACTTCCAGACACTTATAGAATCTATGCCAATGTTGGCGTTTCCTTTATTTTGGCAGTTACCTGTACATTGGCTCTGAGACTCAGTTAACAAAGGTTTCATATTCTGTATTGAGATAAAATACATAGGTTACTGTCTTCAAGACTCAACTGACACAGGTCAGGCTTCCTGTTCCCACATATGTCGTAACACCAGACATTTCACCTGTGGTATTACAATACAGTAACAGTAACTATGACAAAATACATGTTAGCTTCAAACTGGCTCCCTGTTTCAGCCTCCATAGATGACAGGGCTCCTAAATGTGTCATAACACCGGCCATTTCACCTGTGGAAGTAACTGTATGAAGACAAAATACATAAAATAACCAACTAACACGTTTCCTGATCCAGGAAGCTAGATGCTATGGATCGCAAATGTATCGTAATACCGGTCATTTCACCTGTGGAATTAACATGGTGCTTTTCCATCTAGACTTACCCCACACCAGTGTGTCACCAGTGATTTATGTTAATGTAAACTCTAGTGTTATTATGTTTCCATCAGGAGTGTGACACTAACGACTTGTAGCAAGCAGAATCAACAACATCTGTGAGAAGGTGTTAAAGTTCACAGTTGGCCATTGTTTTGTAAATGAATCTGAAAAGTACCAGCGGCCTGGATTTGGCCCCAAGTCAGAGCATCTACGCGGGCTTTGGCCCAGTGAGACAGGCGTGCCGGCCCACGTAGATGGAAACAGAAAAGTCTGAGCCTTTTGGGTAAAACACTGGGGTAAAAACTATATTGTAAATGTGCCAACAGTAGGCCTCAATACTGAACTAACAGTTCCAGCATATACAACTGCTATGGATCCCACATGTTATAACACCAGTATCGTCAATAGTAATTCTAGTGATACAGAAATGATACTGGTCTCGAGGGACATGTACCAGCACCATCCATGACCTATATACAGTATACCTTCACATGGTGTAATTGATTTGTCATATCGTCTTACTGAGTGAACAGTGTTAACTGCACTGGTTCTCATCTGCTCATTAGAAGCAGGGAATTGTTGCTAGTGATGATATATGAATAGTGTTGATATTTGATGCCTTCTGACACCAGATATGAATATTATTGGATGAGGAAGGATACAAAAGGTTTCTGACTGAGGGTTGAAATTCGCACAAAACAATAAGGTGTGTGTCACTGTCAAGATGCTGTGAATGACTGCTGCAGTGTGTGTGTGTGTGTGTGTGTGTGTGTGTGTGTGTGTGTGTGTGCATTCATGATCTGTGCATGCATTGTCTGTGTGTGCATACTACTATTTCTGTGTGTGCGTGTGTCAGTGTGTGTGTGCATGTTAGCATGTTATATGCATGTGTGTACATGTGTTCAGTGTGTGATCTGGACTGCTTACTGCTCACTAACCTGCAGCTGTCATCCTTAGGATCTCCTTGCAGCGAGGCTGCCGCTCTGGCCAGGCCCATACGAGCAAACGCATGGTAGTGTGTGAGCTGTGTGTCGCTCAGGGTCGCGACCCCGTCCGCCTCATCAAACGCACTCTCCCAGTAGGCCTGGAGGCCAGGGGTCCCCTGGGGCATAGGTCCAAACAGGTAGCCATCCAGTTGGTTCACGATCTCCTGGTTAACACTGGCTTCAAACTTCCTGGCGAAGAACGTAGGCCGGGTTGTTTGCTGGAGGAAATGGAGGGAGTAGGAGAGGAGGGGAGAGAAAAAGAAAGAGAAGATTAAGAAATGGTTGCTTGAAAGACTGCGGAATGGGAGACGGAGTGGAAGTGAGTGGGAGGTTGTGAGAGAGAGAGAGATAGAGAGAAAGAGAGAGAGAGTGTGTGCATGTGTGAGGAACAGCTTTGATTTAAAATTCTCTCCCACATAGAGAACAAAACAAGCAGATACACTGCCACGTCATATCACCCTGGTAAACTGTCTCAGTACCCACGTCTCTCTCTCTCTCTCTCTCTCTCTCTCTGTCTCTCTCTGTCTCTCTCTCTCTCTCTCTCTCTCTCTCTCTGTCTCTCTCTCTCCTCTCTCTCTCTCTGTCCTGTCTCTTCGTCTCTCTATCTCTTCTCTCTCTCTCTCTCTCTCTCTCTCTCTCTCTCTCTCTACTCTCTCTCTCTCTCCTCTCTCTACTCTCTCTCTCTCTCTCTCTCTGTCTCTGTCTCTTATTAAGTCGGTTGTCTTTCTCTGTCTACCGGCTCATCTTTGTCATCTGACTCCTGTTCTCTTTGTACTTCTTGGACTCTCTACTATCTCTCAGCTTCTCTATCTCTCTCTCTCATTATCTCTCTCTGTTCATCTCTCTCTCTGTCTGGATTATCTATCTCTCTCTCTCTCTCTCTCGTTCTCTCGCTCTCTTATGTATCTGTCATGTTTCTCTGATGTCTCTGTCTCTATCTAGATCTCTCTATCTCCTCTCTCTCCTCTACTCGCTCTCTCTCTCCTCTAGTCTCCTCGCTCTCTCTCTCTTCTCTCTCTCTCTCTCGCTCTCTCTCACACTCACATGACGCAAAAACAAATGACTTTATTAAGTTCAGGGCTGTGTCTTTCCCCCTGTCAGCTACCAGAGCTGGGCGCATCTTTCAAACACAGGGCAAAACCACAGAAGAAGACTTCCTGTTCCCTTTGTACTTCCTGAATCACCAGGGACTCCACAGGAGAAAAAAACGAGACTACATTTACACCTAGATAGAATCTAAAGCCGAGAGCATGTAGAGGGAAGGCTCGAGAATAGAGAGCAGAGCTAGAGAGCGAGAGCGTCAGTAGAGATATAGCTATCACTCGGATATATCTATCGCTCTCTCTCTCTCTAGATCTCTCTCTCTCTCTCTCTCTCTCTCTCTCTTCTCTCTCTCTCTCTCTCTCCCCTGCATGCCGCTTTCCATGACAACAGACAGAATAAAAACGTTCAGGAGTCAGTCTGAATTCTCACAAAAACAACTCTCTCTGTCTGCACCACTAGGGCCTTGTTGTCAAGCGAAGGAGTGTTTTTGTGATTAAAATTTTAGATGCATCGCATCGTTGTTCCTCGCTAGAGAAAGTGTGTGTGTGTGTTTGTGAGAGAGAGAATGTGTGTGTGTGAGAGAGTGTAAGAGTGTGTGGGTGTGTGTGCGTGTAAGTTTGTGTGGGTGATCAGATGCATCCCTTTCCTCGCTAGAAAATCAAGGAGTGCCACTTTAAGAGGCATTTCACTACTTTGCTTATGGCCCACTGAAATGGCTTTGAATGGCTGTAGGTGGCACTTACTGAAATGGACAACTTTTATATATACACTACCGGTCAAAAGTTTTAGAACACCTACTCATTCAAGGGTTTTTCTTTATTTTACATTGTAGAATAATAGTGACGACATCAAAACTATGAAATAACACATATGGAATCATGTAGTAACCAAAAAGTGTTAAACAAATCAAAATACATTTGAGATTTGAGATTTTTCAAATAGCCACCCTTTGACTTGATGACAGCTTTGCACACTCTTGGCATTCTCTCAACCAGCTTCACCTGGAATGCTTTTCCAACAGTCTTGAAGGAGTTCCCACATATGCTGACCACTTGTTGGCTGCTTTTCCTTTACTCTGCGGTCCGACTCATCCCAAACCATCTCAGTTTGGTTGAGGTCGGGGGATTGTGGAGGCCAGGTCATCTGATGCCGCACTCCATAACTCTCCTTCTTGGTAAAATAGCCCTTACACAGCCTGGAGGTGTGTTGGGTCATTGTCCTGTTGAAAAACAAATGATAGTCCCACTAAGCCCAAACCAGATGGGATGGCGTATCGCTGCAGAATGCTGTGGTAGCCATGCTGGTTAAGTGTGCCTTGAATTCTAAATAAATCACAGACAGTGTCACCAGCAAAGCACCCCCACACCATAACACCTCCTCCTCCATGCTTTATGGTGGGAAATACACATGCGGAGATAATCCGTTCACCCACACCGTGCCTCACAATGCCACGGCGGTTGGAACCAAAAATCTCAAATTTGGACTCCAGACCAAAGGACAAATTTCCACCAGTCTAATGTCCATTGCTCGTGTTTGTTGGCCCAAGCAGGTCTGTTCTTCTTATTGGTGTCCTTTAGTAGTGGTTTCTTTGCAGCAATCCGACCATGAAGGCCTGATTCACACAGTCTCCTCTGAACAGTTGATGTTGAGATGTGTCTGTTACTTGAAGCATTTATTTGGGCTGCAATTTCTGAGGCTGGTAACTCTAATGAACTTATCCTCTGCAGCTGAAGTAACTCTGGGTCTTCCATTCCTGTGGCGGTCCTCATGATAGCCAGTTTCATCATAGCGCTTGATGGTTTTTGCAACTGTACTTGAAGAAACTTTCAAGGTTCTTGAAATGTTCCGTATTGACTGACCTTAATGTCTTAAAGTAATGATGGACTGTCGTTTCTCTTTGCTTATTTGAGCTGTTCTTGCCACAAATAGGGCTATCTTCTGTATACCACACACACATACACACCTTGTCACAACACAACTGATTGGCTCAAACGCATTAAGAAGGAAAGAAATTCCACAAATTAACTTTTAAGAAGGCACACCTGTTAATTGAAATGCATTCCAGGTGACTAACTCCTGGAGCTGGTTGAGAGAATGCCAAGAGTGTGCAAATGTGTCATCAAGGCAAAGGGTGGCTACTTTGAAGAATCTCAAATTTAAAATATATTTTGATTTGTTTAACACTTTTTTGGTTACTACATGATTCTATATGTATTATTTCATAGTTTTGATATCTTCACTATTATTCTACAATGTAGAAAATAGTAAAAATAAAGAAAAACCCTTGAATGAGTAGGTGTTCTAAAACTTTTGACCGGTAGTGTTTATCCTTGCCATTCATAAATCATAAATCATACAATGTAGTTATATGTTCATGGTATCACATCCAGACAAGTAAACTAAAGATCTCGTTTGTATTTTTGATATGAAGTCCATCAGGACTTGTCAGACAGTGACGTTAAAGTGAGGGACTCGTCAGTAGCCTACCAAATTGCATCCTTAAGAGAGCTGTTCATTTGGTTCCCTAATTTGCATACTACTGGTAGGCATTTTGGTGATCTGCAGATAAATTACGAAAACATTTGCTGAAGATTGTGAATTGTCACACCCTGATCTGTTTCACCTGTCTTTGTGATTGTCTCCACCCCCTCCAGGTGTCGCCCATCTTCCCCATTATCCCCAGGGTATTTATACCTGTGTTCTCTGTTTGTCTGTTGACAGTTCGTTTTGTTTCGTCAAGCCTACCAGTGGTTTTCCACTTGCTCCTGTCTTTCTCAAGTTCCTGTTTTCTGGTTTTGACCATTCTGCCTGCCCTGAACCTGAGCCTGCCTGCCGTTCTGTACCTTGTCCCACCACCCTGGATAATTGACCTCTGCCTGCCCTGACCCTGAGACTGCCTGCCGTTCTGTACCTTTTGGACTCTGATCTGGATTACTGACCTCTGCCTGCCCTTGACCTGTCGTTTGCCTTCCCCCTGTTTTTGTAATAAACGTTTGTTACTTCGACACTATCTGCATCTGGGTCTTCTCCTGAAATGTGATAGTGAATCCTCCTCACTGCAGGAACAATAGGTAGGTTAGTGGAGAAAGAGTCTCACTCTGGTCCAAAATATGATTAAAGAAAACAGATTGAATCATTTTAAAAGCTATTGATACTTATATGGTATTTTTATATGGTATTTTCAAAGATACTGATATAGGTCTATTGATTTAATCAAAGTGTTGACAATGGGGTAGACAACTGCTCCTTTCTGTGTAGCAAAGCCCATGTTTAACACCTGCTTCATTCTTCAATCATACCTTTATTACAGATAGCTGAGAGAATACCTCTTAAAAGGAAGCTCGAAGCCTGTGGAAGTCAGCAGACTCTTACAGGATTCTTTAAAGGCTCAGTGAAGGCAACATTACGTTTTTCCTGTGTTTTATATCATATTGTACAACAGCTGATGAAACTAACACTGTAAAATCCTATATATTTTTTAATATCAGTGTTATTTCCTGACAGTTGCTGGTTGAAAATACAATCTAGCATTAGAATGTACCAGAGGCCACTAAAATAGAGCTTGTTCGGCAAAAATAATCTTAACACCGACCCATCCCCCCCAGACCTGGGGAGCATGGCTGGGTACTTTGTCTATTTGGCTGGCTACTCCATGTGCTTGTGGAAAACACTGTGTGTGTGTGTGGGGTGTTAGGATGATGGATGGATGAAGGGTGAAGGATATGATTAATGGTATTCTCTCTCTCTCCGTTTGTCTCTGTCTCTGTCTTCCTTTATCTCTCTCTATGTCTGCCTCTCTGCCTCTCCGTTTCTCTCTCTCTCTCTCTCTCTCTCTCTCTCTCTCTCTCTCTCTCTCTCTCTCTCTCTCCCTCAGTCTCTCTCTCTCCCTCAGTCTCTCTCTTTCCCTCAGTCTCTCTCTTTCCCTCATTCTCTCTCTTTCCCTCAGTCTCTCTCTCTCCCCCTATTTCTCTATCCCTTGCTTCTTGCTGTGGTTGACAGTAGCTCATGAGAACTCTCTCAGCAGCCTCCGCTGCTTGGCAGACTCATAACCAGTCCTTTGAGTTCCATACACCTCAGACAAGGAGGGGAAACTATTTACCCTCATCTCCTCCCGTACTGCGCACCTTGCTGTAAATTCCTAGTGTGGGGGATAATGACGGCCCATAGGGACCAGACCTGGCAACCCGTGGCTTATCTGGCAACCGGTGGCATTCTCACACCAGGGCAGCAACTGTGGAACTTGGCGGCGGTTCTTCCGCCCCCTCACACAATTTATTAACCCAACTTTCACAGGTACAGTTCATCAAGTGAGAGAAACCAGAGAGTGGAAAGATTGCGACTAGGTCCAAGATCTAGCTATGAAAGGTTCTCTCTGTTGTCTGTAACAGGTGAGACTTTTTCACCTCATCTCCTCCACCCTCTTTCTTTCTCTCCTCCTTTTTTCCCCTCACTGATCTGTCCGTTTCCTAAGCAACACAAAACCCCCACAGACTTACTAGAGCACTCCTCCACACCACACAGAACCATTAATAGGGGCACTAGACACCCACTCCTATACCACAGATAGAACTAGATACGTGTCCAGTACTAGATACCTACTCCTATACCACAGATAGAACTAGATACGTGTCCAGTACTAGTCACCCACTCCTATACCACAGATAGAAACTAGATACGTGTTCCAGTAACTAGATACCACTCATACCACAGATTAGGAACTAGAACGTCCAGTACTAGATACCCACTCCTATACCACAGATAGAACTAGATACGTGTCCAGTACTAGTCACCCACTCCTATACCACAGATAGAACTAGATACGTGTTCCAGTACTAGATACCCACTCCTATACCACCAGATAGAACTAGATACGGTCCAGTACTAGATACCCACTCCTATACCACAGATAGAAACTAGATACGTGTCCAGTACTAGATACCCACTCCTATACCACAGATAGAACTAGATACGTGTCCAGTACTAGATACCCACTCCTATACCACAGATAGAACTAGATACGTGTCCAGTACTAGATACCCACTCCTATACCACAGATAGAACTAGATACATGTCCAGTACTAGATACCCACTCCTATACCACAGATAGAACTAGATACATGTCCAGTACTAGATACCCACTCCTATACCACAGATAGAACTAGATACATGTCCAGTACTAGATACTACACAGTCCTCCTCAGTCATTCTGAAGCATGTGCAGCTTCTAGCCTAAATATAGCCTCTCTGTCAATCTATACTGGATCCTACTGAGCGTGGAAAACCCACACTCAATAGGATATTAATTAAGTCCTATTAATACAGTGGACTGACTGGTAGGCGGTAGGAGGTCTGCACTGTGCCCAGTGTGTTCTGTATACTGTAATGAAACACCACACACACACACACACATACACACACACACACACACACACACACACACACACTGTTCCCAGGCATTTTATACTGTAATAATACTGTCAGTGTGCTCCAGTCATGCCAGGATTCCAAGGGAGAGACAGAGAGACAGAGTCAGGATTGGGCATTAGGGTTGGCAGCCAACAGGGCGAGACAGTAGGCTAGGCAGAGGGCAGCAAGCTGGCATAGAGAGTAGTTAGGTCAGCACTATGACTTTGGATGTATTCAAGTGTGTGTGTTTGAGAGAGAGAGAAAAGTGTGTGTGTGTGTGTGTGTGTCTGTGTGCATGCGTGAGAGAGAGAGAAATATGTGAAAGAGATGTGTGTTTATACTGTAAGTTTATGTGGGTGTATACGTTTTGTGTGTGTACATGTATGTACGTACGTGTGTGTGTGTGTGTGTATGTGTGTGATACCATGTCTCACCTGGAAGCGGTGGAAGTCGGCAGGTTTGAAGTCGTTGGGGGAGCAGCCGCACCAGTCCACTATGTGTTTGTACTGACACTTACAGCCCAGCTTCCTGTTCCAGTTAGTGATGCGCAGGTTGTTGTCCACCATGCTCTCACAGTGAGCACTGTTCTCCAGCACCGTATGGAAGAACGACTGAGAGAGAGAGAGAGAAGAAAACAGAGAGTGGGCGTCAGAATCTATAACTTCACCTTCCTGCACTGAAGTGTAGTGTAGGTGGAAGAGAAGAGAATGAAGGATGACGTGGACATCTGTAACAATTAACCACAAACATCTCCAGTTTTTCATCTATTTAACTTTCAAAACATCTCCTCCAAGCCCTTACGCAGTGTCCTTAGGACTGGTGTGTGTAAGTGTGTGTGTTTACCTCAGCGAGCAGAAGTATATAGGTGTGTGTGTGTGTTCTTACCTCAGCGGGCAGCAGTGTGTAGGTGTGTGTGTGTGTGTTCTTACCTCAGCGGGCAGCAGTGTGTAGGTGTGTGTGTGTGTGTTTACCTCAGTGAGCAGAAGTATATAGGTGTGTGTGTGTGTGTTCTTACCTCAGCGGGCAGCAGTGTGTAGGTATAGAAGCGCTTCATGTTGATGACCAGGTCGTCTTGGGATTTTATAACGTACTCCACGAACGCACGATTGAGCAGGAACCAATCAGAACCGCCGTCCACAGAAATGCCTTCTGGGATTTTACGGTCGCCCAGTCGCCACATGTGGGTGTCGCACTCGAAGAAAAGCCGGTCCAGACCTTGTTTGCGGATAAACCTGGTTGACCAAAAACACACAACCATGGTTAAACCTATAGCGACCACAAACACACGAACACACAACCATGGTTAAACCCATAGCGACCACAAACACACAACCATGGTTAAACCCATAGCGACCACAAACACACAACCATGGTTAAACCTATAGCGACCACAAACACACAACCATGGTTAAACCTATAGCGACCACAAACACACAACCATGGTAAACCTATAGCGACCACGAACACACAACCATGGTTAAACCCATAGCGACCACGAACACACAACCATGGTTAAACCTATAGCGACCACAAACACACAACCATGGTTAAACCCATAGCGACCACAAACACACAACCATGGTTAAACCCATAGCGACCACAAACACACAACCATGGTTAAACCTATAGCGACCACAAACACACAACCATGGTTAAACCTATAGCGACCACAAACACACAACCATGGTTAAACCCATAGCGACCACAAACACACAACCATGGTTAAACCTATAGCGACCACAAACACACAAACACACAACCATGGTTAAACCTATAGCGCCAATAAACACACAACCATGGTTAAACCTATAGCAACCACAAACACACAACCATGGTTAAACCTATAGCGACCACAAACACACAACCATGGTTAAACCTATAGCGACCACAAACACATGAACACACAACCATGGTTAAGTTTGTTTCTTTTACACACAACCACTAACTTATATAAACTTATGTTACACTCAACTATACACTCACTTATATAAACATATTTTTGCTTTATTTGTCCTTTATTTAACCAGATGGTCTCTTGAGGAACCTCTTTTTCCAGAGACTGGGAGAAAGCAAGGTCAAAAAAGCCTTGTATGGCAACATAGTCCATCTCTGACAGCTGCTGTATTCAAAAATGCATACAAAAACTCTCTGTGGTGACATGTTTATAAACATTTACAAACATTTTAAAGTTCCATATAGCCTAGTGGTTAGTATATGTTCTGCTTGGAAAACATGTATGTTCGATGTTCACCAATTCCACTTTCCAGTATCCACTCAGTATACTCTCCCAGTAGCATTGAGAGAGCATAGAGAGAGAGTCACATCCTATATATGTTTCCCTCAAACACTAACAATGTGTGACTCATGTGAAAGCACCAAGTGTTGCAGTAGGTGTCAAATTCAGGTCAAACAGACAACTGTTTCACTCAGTCCTTGAAGGTATTAAAGCCAGCTGCTATCCAAACAGAAACAAAGTTGTATAACCTATATACACCTCCATTTGATTCCTATAGAAACAGCTATATAGGAACAACCTTCATTAATCCACTATCCATCCTATCTCATGCCAGTAGTGGTTTTATTCAGTCAAGCCCATCTAACCCCTGGCACACACACACGCACACACGCACGCACGCACGCACGCACGCACGCACGTGCATGTCATTAAGTAGCGTGATATGGCATGGAGCGGGTTGGGGACAGGGCTGGCAGGCAGCACCTCGCCACGGCAACAAGGGAAGGTTAATTAATAAAGCTACAGATGGAGCCTAATTGGATTATGACTCAGTCACCGAGCTGGGGCAAGGAGGGTGTGTGTGTGTGTGTGTGTGTGTGTGTGTGTGTGTGTGTGTGTGTGTGTGTGTGTGTGTGTGTGTGTGTGACAGTGGAGGCTCCTCAGAGGAGGAAAGGGAGGACCATCCTCCTCAGTGAATTTCATAAAAATACAAATAGTGAAACATTAAAAGTGATCCTTTTTAGATAAAACTATACTAAATATATTCACGTCACCAAATAATTTATTAAAACACACTGTTTTCACAAGCGAAGGGAAAAGGTGAGAGGATGAGAGGGTGTAGATACGAGAAGGAAGTGATCATGCTGTTTGTATGTGGCTGCTACGAAAGTGAACCGATTCTGTTTGTATGTGGCTGCTATGAAAGTGAACCGATTCTGTTTAAAAACGTTACCTGAATTTGTCCAATAGAAACTCTCGTTTGCAACTGTTGGACTAATGATTACACCCTAGATCAGCTAGATGCAGGCAAGAGTATGCAAGGCTGTATTGAATGTGTCACTGTCTGTCGCCTTGATTACTCAAACTTCTCTCTCGACCTGTGCACCTACGTTGAAAACTTTTATTCATAGGCTAGGTTGTAGCAACCTCATGATGGGTATAGGGACAATTCGAGTATCATGTAGTAACCTAAACCTATTGCTGTTACATTGAACTAGGTGAGTGGAATATGAATGACAGTCATCCAATATGCTGTAATAGAAATAAGGCCATGCTCATTAAAAAAAGAATCGTTCTCCCTCATCTTAAACGGCACCGTCCGCCACTGGTGTGTGAGAATGAGAATAAAAATGAGTGAACATGTTTTAATGTGTCTGTATCATGCTAGTGTGTGTGTGTGTGTGTGTGTGTGTGTGTACGTGCACCTATAATAATATGCCATTTAGCAGACGCTTTTATCCAAAGCAACTTACAGTCATGCGTGCCTACATTTTTTGTGTATGGATGGTCCCGGGGATCGAACCCACTACCTTGGCGTTACAAGCGCCGTGCTCTACCAGCTGAGCTACAGAGGACCACCTGTACGTGGGTGTGTATTTTTCAGTGTGTGTGCGTGTTAGATCTCACCTGGCGTTGTCTCTGCCGTGGGACTTGATGAAGTTCATGTCTCTGTACTTGGACAGGAAGGCCACCAGCTGGCTGTTGGTCCTGTCAACAACAACCAGGAAGAGATAATTAGAAACCAACCAATCAGTGGAAACGACAGCCAGGAAGTTCATAATTACCAACCAATCAAAGAGAGAGAGGTAGAAACCATATGCCATATGAAAGGGCAATAGAACAGCTTTTCTCGGTCATCACTTTTCAAGGGTTGTCAAGGATACAAAGATATATTTGTTAAAGGGATAGTTCCCTATAAAAATCTAAGTATGCCAGCCATTTTCTTGGACTCTCACTCATACAACCACCACTCACTTTTATGCTCAGTTTGATTTTGGGGTGAACTATTGCTTTAACAGAACATTTGATCATTTATTATTTAACTATACACTATCACTAGGGGCCAGGGTTTTCCAGGTCAGTTGGTCAGGAAAACTACTGACCCTAAGTAGTAAGACAGTAAACATAACATCCATGTAGCAGTTGGCTCAATAACCAACCCCACAGGCACTATACAATACAGTAGTCCAGTCGAGTCAAACCCTTTCTAGGTAGCCCATCCAGGCTAAAGGCTTCTCCTCTGCAGTGCAAGACATCATTGCCACAGTAAAGGTATTCTCAACAATACAGATATCTGCATGGTGTAAAGCAGGGTAGGGGGTAGGCTGTCTGGACCTTTAGATGACAGCTCAGTTTTCCTTTCTAAAAGAGCCTAAACTCTCCTAACAAAGCTGGGCTAGCGCAGGCTGAAGGAACGCATATTAATGCCATTTACTGATGAAGGAGCAATTTCACAGCCCCAAGGCTTTCCTTAGCAGATGTAGTGGGACACACACACACACACACACACAAACACAGACAACACACACACAGAGCACAGCACAGCGGGGGAAATCGAGGTCACAGCATAAATTTGCCAGAGTTGTGTCATTGTGCCTGAGTGGTCCCCAGTCTGTCCAGTGGGTCTGGTTGGTTTGCTGACTGACTGTCTACCCAAGGGTGCCCTCTCGTCTCTCTGTCACTATGTGTCTGGCTGGATGGCATTCACACACACTGCCACCCAAGCCAGTACCACAGAATCACCAGCCAAGCCCATATCATAGTCTTTAGTAAAGCAGCTGGATAGTTTTTAGTAAAGCAACTAGATAGTCTTTAGTAAAGCAGCTGGATATTCTTTAGTAAAGCAGCTGGATAGTCTTTGGTGAAGCAGCTGGATAGATTTTAGTGAAGCAGCTGTATAGTCTTTAGTAAAGCAGCTGGATATTCTTTAGTAAAGCAGCTGGATAGTCTTTAGTAAAGCAGCTGGATAGCCTTTAGTAAAGCAGCTGGATAGTCTTTGGTGAAGCAGCTGGATAGTTTTTAGTAAAGCAGCTGGATAGTCTTTAGTAAAGCAGCTGGATATTCTTTAGTGAAAGCTATATAGTATTTATTAAAGCAGCTGGATAGTCTTTATTAAAGCAGCTGGATAGTATTTACTAAAGTAGCTGGATAGTCTTCAGTAAAGCAGCTGGATAGTCTTTAGTAAAGCGGCTGGATAGTCTTTAGTGAAGCAGCTGGATAGTCTTTAGAGAAGCAGCTGGGTAGTCTTTATTGAAGCAGCTGGATAGTCTTTAGTAAAGCAGCTGGATAGTCTTTATTAAAGCAGCTGGATAGTATTTAGTGAAGCAGCTGGATAGTCTTTAGTGAAGCAGCTGGATAGTCTTTAGTAAAGCAGCGGAATAGTCTTTAGTAAAGCAGCGGGATAGTCTTTAGTGATGCAGCTGGATAGTCTTTATTAAAGCAGCTGGATAGTCTTTATTAAAGCAGGAGGTTAGAAAAGAGGATAGAAGCAAGACAACACTGCCTGTCTTGAAGAAGAGAAAAGCCTGGAAAGAGATCCTCGCTCTGGGACAAAACAACCATGTAACCCATCCCTCCCTCCTCCATCCCTCCATTGCAGCCCACCGGGCAGACACACAGACACCACCGCTGGGACGAGGGGGAGAGGGTATTTGGGCTGGGCCTTTCAGGCTCATCCATGTGGACGGGAGGACATCATCAGAGAATTAGACAGGGAATAATGCCTGTCTCTCTCCTCCAGCCTACTGATGGCACCAGCACCAAGCCTAACCCTGCATTCCTTATACTGTAGCAGTGGAGCCTGTGGCCATAGGGTGGATCATAGGAATAATGCCTGTCTCTCTCAGTAGCACCGGACCTAACCCTGCATTCCTTATAGCATTGGTGCTGTATGGCTGTAGCATACTGTAGGGACTGTCCCTTCATTCCTTATACAGTATCAGTGGAGAAGATGACCATAGGGTGGATCATAGCCTGGTTATTATTTTAGTGTGGTACTATGACTCTAGCATAGCCTGGTTATTCTTTTAGTGAGGTACTATGACTGTAGCATAGCCTGGTTATTCTTTTAGTGAGGTACTATGACTGTAGCATACCCTGGTTATTCTTTTAGTGAGGTACTATGACTCTAGCATACCCTGGTTATTCTTTTAGTGAGGTACTATGACTGTAGCATAGACTGGTTGGCTTCATTCTACACTCGCATGACAGTTGAATTGAACTGAATTGAAGAGGGCTGTGCAAGGCAAGTATAGTTTGTCACAGAGCTTTCTTCTTCCTTCTTTTTTGATTGTATCACTATACGGCCTTGTAGATGAGCGGGAGTGGATTGAGGGAGTGGACTGATGATCAGTGTGTTGTGGGTTAAAGTATGTAAATATTGTCTAAATGAAGAAACTTGAGTCAAATCCAAGAAGTGGTCCAAAAAAGCTTTTGCAATGCAAGTATATACTATTACATATTATAAATATATACTATTACTGTATGCTATGCCAACATGTAACCTCCCCTCTCTTTCCCCTTCTCTTATTCACTCTCTTCTTTCACTCCCTCTCCCTCCATCTCTCTTCAGATGGGCCTATAAAAACCTCCAGTGTCAGCCCTTTCCTCCACCACATCACCGCCATGCAAATGAAGAGAAGAAGAGGAGACAGACAGGAAGAAAGAAACAGCTCATCAGCACACCACAAACACATTCACTCACACAGTGACAGACGCAAGCGTACACCCACATTATGCAAACACAGGCATACACAACGGCATTATGCACACACACACACACGCACACACACACACGGGCGCACAGGCGCACACACATACACTTGAGCGCACATAGACAGACAGACAGACAAAAAGACAGACAGATACTATCACTTTTATAATCGAACATCAAAATCAGAACTATTCTCCCTGTTCTCACACTATCCCATAATATCTAAGACAAGCACATATCCACATGGCAACAGACTAAAAGTACGCTCTTTCGGAAACATAAATATGTCCCTGAACATTTCCCTGACAGGGTGAATGAAGACAGGGTGTCTCCTGAGCCTGTGTATATAAACCAAACACACGTGTTGGACTATGAAACAACACACTTTCTTTATACCTTCCATTTTAGCTCCAGGTGTTGGACACACAAGGTCCAGTTTCCTTTTTCACAATGGCGATTTCAGCTACTGGTGGCCATCTGGGGCAAGTACAGTGGCAAGAAAAAGTATGTGAACCCTTTGGAATTACCTGGATTTCTGCATTAATTGGTCATAAAATGTGATCTGATCTTCATCTAAGTCACCACAATAGACAAACACAGTGTGCTTAAACTAATAACACACAAATTATTATATTTTCCTTGTCTATATTGAATACATCATTTAAACATTCACAGTGTAGGTTGGAAAAAGTATGTGAACCCCTAGGCTAATGGCTTCTCCAAAAGCTAAATGGCTTCTCCAGCTAACCTGGAGTCCAATCAATGAGACGAGATTGGAGATGTTGGTTAGAGCTGCCCTGCCCTATAAAAAACACTCACAAAATTTGAGTTTGCTATTCACAAGAAGCATTGCCTGATGTGAACCATGCCTTGAACAAAACAGATCTCAGAACACCTAAGATTAAGAATTGTTGACTTGCTGGAAGGGTTACAAAAGTATCTCTAAAAGTCTTGATGTTCATCAGTCCACGGTAAGACAAATTGTCTATAAATGGAGAAAGTTCAGCACTGTTGCTACTCTCCCTAGGATTGACCGTCATCAACGGAAAAAAGTTTATCAAGACATTTTGCAGGGGAATGTAAGGCTATCTGTCCACCAATTGAAGCTCAACAGAAGTTGGGTGATGCAACAGGACAATGACCCAAAACACAGAAGTAAATCAACAACAGAATGTACGCCTTCTGGAGTGGCCCAGTCAGAGTCCTGACCTCAACCCCATTCAGATGCTGTGGCATGACCTCAAGAGAGCGGTTCACACCAGACATGCCAAGGATATTGCTGAACTGAAACAGTTTTGTAAAGTGGAATGGACCAAAATTCCTCCTGACCGTTGTGCAGGTCTGATCTGCAACTACAGAAAACATTTGGTTGAAGTTATTGCTGCCAAAGGAGGGTCAACCATTTGTTAAATCCAAGGGTTCACATACTTTTCCCACCCTGCACTGTGAATGTTTACACAGTGTGTTCAATAAAGACATGAAAACGTATGATTGTTTGTGTGTTATTAGTTTAAGCAGACTGTGTCTGTCTATTGTGGTGACTTAGATGAAGATCAGATCACATTTTATGACCAATTTATGCAGAAATCCAGGTAATTCCAAAGGGTTCACATACATTTTCTTGCCACTGTATGTGATAGAAGTCTATGAGGGACTAATGTGTGGATCCACATCACAAACCTACCAGCAGACCCTGAGGCCCTACAGGTTCACAAGGGTGTGTACGTGTGGCACTCAGCCCTCGGTGGAATGAGTCAGACACATTTTAAACTCTTCCTCTTCTCTCCGCCTCCAGCGTTCCAACTACCTCCACAGACAGGTGCAGGCCCTGGCCTCCCAGTACCTCAACGTGAGGGTGACCCCCTGGAGGATGGCTACCATCTGGGGCGGTGCCAAACACACACAAACACACACACACTAACCACCTGTTGGGAAGTCAATACATATTGACCAAGGGGCAATTAACATGTAATCAGTTCACCATGTAACCTATTCAACTGAGTAAGTAAGCCAGGACAGGGATTGGAATTCGGGGAGAACAAATGAGTAATCACCTTAAGAAGAACCGGAGATCTACTGTAATTGATCTATTTAAGTTTTTTAGCTAGGGTCTTTGTTGTAAGTCTGCAGTGATTGTATAGTGATTGTGACTGTATGGATTCCTCGAGGGCCTATGGGGTTATATAGCCGTGTGTGTCTACTGTCTGATAGCCATTCAGACTTTTAGTACTGTTTGCATCTCTTCATAATGGCTCATTTTAAAGAGTGTATAAACTGTAAATTATAATTACACAACAAAGGACTATCAGTAGAATCTCTCAATATTTTTTATCCATATGACCAAACTGGTGTTCAAAGTGTTCAGAGTAATTTCATGTCAGGTCAAACAGAGAAGTGAGCATGTGAAGTAGTATTTCCTCTCTGTCTGACTCCTGGCCACTCACCCCTAAACAACTTGACTGTTTCGAAGGAGAAGAGGCCCAAGACGTTCCAGTAAAACCAATTGCTGTCAACACAGCTGCTGCTACTTCCGTACTTAAATATATACAGAGCATTCGGAAAGTATTCAGACCCCTTCCCTTTTTCCACATTTTGTTACGTTACAGCCTTATTCTAAAATTGATTAAATAACAAAATGTCCTCATCAATCTACACATGATACCCCATAATGACAAAGTGAAAACAGGTTTGTAGAAATGCTTGCTAATTTATTACAAATAAAAAACAGAAATACCTTATATACATCAGACCCTTTGCTATGAGACTTGATATTGAGCTCAGGTGCATCCTGTTTCCATTGATCATTCTTGAATGTTTCTACAACTTGATTGGAGTCCACCTGTTGTAAATTCAATTGATTGGACATGATTTGGAAAAACACACACCTGTCTATATAAGGTCCCACAGTTGACAATGCATGTCAGAGCAAAAACCAAGCCATGAAAGGAATTGTCCGTAGAGTTCCGAGACAGGATTGTGTCGAGGCACAGATCTGGGGAAGGGTACCAAAAAATGTCTGCAGCATTGAAGGTCCCCAAAAACACAGTGGCCTCCATCATTCTTAAATGGAAGAAGTTTGGAACCACCAAGATTCTTCCTAAAGCTGGCCGCCCGGCAAAACTGAGCAATCGGAGGAGAAGGGCCTTGGTCAGGGAGGTGACCAAGAACCCAATGGTCACTCTGACAGAGCTCCAGAGTTCCTCTGTGGATATGGGAGAACCTTCTAGAAGGGCAACCATCTCTGCAGCATTCCACCAATCAGGCCTTTATGGTAGAGTGGCCAGACAGAAGCCACTCCTCAGTAAAAGGCACATGACAGCCCGCTTGGAGTTTGCCAAAAGGCACCTAAAGGACTCTCAGACCATGAGAAACAAGATTCTCTGGTCTGATGAAACCAAGATTGAACTCTTTGGCCTGAATGCCAAGCGTCACATCTGGAGGAAAACCGGCACCATCCCTACGATGAACCATGATGGTGCCAGCATCATGCTGTGGGGATGTTTTTCAGTGGCAGGGACTTGGAGACTAGTCAGGATCAAGGGAAAGATGAAGTGCTCAGGACCTCAGACTGGGCCGAAGCAGGAGTGGCTTCAGGACAAGTCTCTGAATGTTCTTGAGTGGCCCAGCCAGAGCCCGGACTTGAACCCAATCGAACATCTCTGGAGAGACCTCAAAATAGCTGTGCAGCGACACTCCCACCTGACAGAGAGGCTTTGCAGAGAAGAATGGGAAAAACTCCCCAAATACAGGTGTGTCAAGCTTGTAGTGTCATACCCAAGAAGACTCGAGGCTGTAATCGCTGCCAAAGGTTCTTCAACAAAGTACTGAGTAAAGGGTCTGAATACTTATGTAAATGTAAAATTTAAGTTGTTTATTTTTAATACATTTGCAAAAATTTCTAAAAACCTGTTTTTGCTTTTTCATTATGGGGTATTGTGTGTAGATTGATCAGGGAAATAGAATAAGGCTGTAACGTAACAAAATGTGGAAAAAGTCAAGGGGTCTGAATAATTTCCCAATGCACAGTAGGTCAACTATCTGGAAAACCTTGCCCCTCCACCCAAGTCACGTGGGACCCTGACGTTAATTAAGAAGTCCCAGCTCCAGTCGGTCATGGTGATCAGGTCTGACATACTGCTAACCTCTACCCCCCTGTCACCTCCACCCCAGTCACCTGATGGGGTAGTCTGCAGCGCTGAGGTTGATGAAGAAGTCCCAGCTCCAGTCGGTCATGGTGATGAGGTCTGCCATGCTGCGGAGGTACATTGTGAGCAGGCTGGCACCGCCCCAGATGGTAGCCATCCTCCAGGGCGTCACCCTCACGTTGGGGTACTGGGAGGCCAGGGCCTGCACCTGTCTGTGGAGGTAATTGGAACGCTGGAGGGGGAGAGAAGAGGAAGAGTTTAAAACATGTGTCAAACTCATTCCACGGAGGGCTGAGTGTCTGCAGGTTTTTGCTCCACCCTTGGACTTGATTGATGAATTAAGGTCACTGATTAGTAAGGAACTCCCCTCACCTGGTTATGTAGGTCTTACTTGAAAGGAAAATCAAAAAACCAGCAGACACTAGGCCCTCCATGGAATGAGTTTGACACCCCTGGTTTAAGACAATATCCTACGTATAGGATAAGGGTATAGACCAGGGCTCTCCAACCCTGTTCCTGGAGAGCTACCGTCCTGTAGGTTTTCACTCCAACCCCAATCTAGCACACCTGATTCCAGGGCCGGTCCTTGACGTCTATGATTGGTGATCCGGACCGGACCAAAAACCAAAGTCTGTGGATGTGGAAATCAAGAAGACGTCGGCGTCGGTCTATGTTTACTGTGGTGTAGCCTACAGTGTTGTCTGAAATTGAATTTCATGAATGCCCATCTATGTGGTAAGCCTACCGTTTGTAAAACACCAAAAAACGTTGTCCGGACAGAACCAAAAAAAGACGTCCAAAAGACGTCGGCTCGTGCTTACTGGGGTGTAGCCTACTACATCAGCCAACAATGGAATTTTATGAATGCCCATCCATGTGGTAGGCCACCATTTGTAAAACAGGCCATTGCATTGGCTTTATTAGTCCTGATTCCTGTGACTAATCAATTTGGCTATTTAAGCTCTGAATATCAGCTAGTAGCTTCCCAACTTTATCAGGAGTTATCACGAACCTATTTGCAATGCGTTTACACAGCGGGAAATGGAGAAGTATTTTTTTCTGCTATGATCAGCTTGTCAAAAATTGACGGATACAAACTTGAAACCACTGATCATGACAATGGGGTGAAACTCCTGTACAACAGTTGTGATTGTCCATTTCATATTGTCCATCTTACTTTGACCTGTCCTGTTTTTAGGATATGTTGTTTGTTAACATGACAGCTCTTTTTTTATTTGATTGAGCGCCATTTAGGTTAGGCTATTTGATCGGAGAAACATGATGTAAAATGAGCTGTCATGCATGATGTAAAAAGTGTCAGTTTCATTACATTGTCATACATTTTATCTCCAGCCTGTAGGCTATAGAAGGCTACATTCTCTTTCTACCATATTCTATATCTGCTACATGATTTATGTTAGATAATTGTTTTGACGGAACGTTGTTGGAGCGCTGCAGAGATGCGTCTCTCCAACAGCACGCTGGAGAGGCGCAGTGGGAATGGACAAGCAAAATATTTTGCTCCCCTTCCTGTGACAAAGTGGCCGCTGCTTATCAAAGGGCGGCATCAGCGCTCACCTAAAAAGCCCATATGCCACTGGTTGAGAGAAATTGTCACTGTTTTTTTGTGAGGTTTTATGTGTTGTTGTTGGAGGTGAGTCTTGGTCAGTTAAGCTCAGAAACCGCAGCCCTCGTCAATCTGCTGTCATAGGAGGCCGCCTAATCCTGCCGTGCCTGATTCTATTAATTAGCTGCTTGAAAAGCTGAACCAGTAAAAACCTACAGGAGGGTGGCTCTCCAGGAACAGGGTTGGAGAGCCCTGGTCTCGGGTAAATGCCACCATTAGTCTCTCCTCTGGGTTATCAGTTGATAGAGCTAAGGGAATGGTTGTATTTAAAAAACAATTGATTTACGCAGGCAATCTTCTAATGTTAGGTGCCTGCACTGGCCTACAGTATGTAAATGTACTGGAAGTAGTAGAGGCAGTGGTGGTATTTAGTCTAAGGTGGATTGTACTGGTTTACAGGACCTTGTCTACATTGATGAGTAAAAGTACTTCACAGTGGTGCAAGGGCAGGCAGTTTATTGTGATTTTAAAGTGATTTATGGTGGGTTATAAAGGGTGTATCATACCTGGTCTACATGTACAGTGAGGGAAAAAAGTATTTGATCCCCTGCTGATTTTGTACGTTTGCCCACTGACAAAGACACGATCAGTCTATAATTTTAATGGTAGGTTTATTTGAACATTGAGAGACAGAATAACAACAAAATAATCCAGAAAAACGTATGTCAAAAATGTTATAAATTGATTTGCATTTTAATGAGGGAAATACGTTTTTGACCCCTCTGCAAAACATGACTTAGTACTTAGTACTGGCAATCACAGAGGTCAGACATTTCTTGTAGTTGGCCACCAGGTTTGCACACATCTCAGGAGGGATTTTGTTCCACTCCTCTTTACAGATCTTCTCCAAGTCATTAAAGGTTTCGAGCCTGACGTTTGGCAACTCGAACCTTCAGCTCCCTCCACAGATTTTCTATGGGATTAAGGTCTGGAGACTGGCTAGGCCTCTCCAGGACCTTAATGTGCTTCTTCTTGAGCCACTCCTTTGTTGCCTTGGCCGTGTGTTTTGGGTCATTGTCATGCTCGAATACCCATCCACAACCCATTTTCAATGCCGTGGCTGAGGGAAGGAGGTTCTCACCCAAGATTTGACGGTACATGGCCCCGTCCATCGTCCTTTTGATGCAGTGAAGTTGTCCTGTCCCCTTAGCAGAAAAACACCCCCAAAGCATAATGTTTCCACCTCCATGTTTGACGGTGGGGTTGGTGTTCTTGGGGTCATAGGTAGCATTCCTCCTCCTCCAAACACGGCGAGTTGAGTTGATGCCAAAGAGCTCCATTTTGGTCTCATCTGACCACAACACTTTCACCCAGTTCTCCTCTGAATCATTCAGATGTTCATTGGCAAACTTCAGACGGGCCTGTATATGTGCTTTCTTGAGCAGGGGGACCTTGCGGGCGCTGCAGGATTTCAGTCCTTCATGGCGTAGTGTGTTACCAATTGTTTTCTTGGTGACTATGGTCCCAGCTGCCTTGAGATCATTGACAAGATCCTCCCGTGTAGTTCTGGGCTGATTCCTCACTGTTCTCATGATCATTGCAACTCCACGAGGTGAGATCTTGCATGGAGCCCCAGGCCCGAGGGAGATTGACAGTTCTTTTGTGTTTCTTCCATTTGCGAATAATCGCACCAACTGTTGTCACCTTCTCACCAAGCTGCTTGGCGATGGTCTTGTAGCCCATTCCAGCCTTGTGTAGGTCTACAATCTTGTCCCTGACATCCTTGGAGAGCTCTTTGGTCTTGGCCATGGTGGAGAGTTTGGAATCTGATTGATTGATTGCTTCTGTGGACAGGTGTCTTTTATACAGGTAACAAACTGAGATTATGAGCACTCCCTTTAAGAGTGTGTTCCTAATCTCAGCTCGTTACCTGTATAAAAGACAACTGGGAGCCAGAAATCTTTCTGATTGAGAGGGGGTGAAATACTTATTTCCCTCATTAAAATTCAAATCAGAGTTTTTTGTTGTTATTCTGTCTCTCACTGTTTAAATAAACCTACCATTAAAATTATAGACTTATCATTTCTTTGTCAGTGGGCAAACGTACAAAATAAGCAGGGGATCAAATGACTTTTTTTCCCTCACTGTATATGTAGTAGTAGTGTGAGGTGGTAGATGTAGTTATAGTCTGGTCTATATGTAGTAGTAGTGGGGTGTAGATGTGCTTAGTCCCGGTTATATGATATGTAGTCGTGGAGGTGTGGTAGCTGGGTCTATAGTCTGGGTATTAGTAGTAGTGTGGGTGAGAGTAGCTTAGTCTTACCTGGTCTATATGTATATGTAGTAGGTGAGGTGTGTAGCTGGTAGTTATAGCTGTCTATAGGTGTAGTGTGAGGGTAGATGGTAGTCTATAGTCTTACCTGGTCTATATGTATATAGTGTAGTGGAGTGGTAGTCTATAGTCTTACCTGGTCTAATGAGTAGAGGTGAGGTGGTAGATGGTAGTCTATAGTCTGGTCTATATGTATATAGTAGTAGTGTGAGGTGGTAGATGGTAGTCTATAGTCTTACCTGGTCTATGTATATAGTAGTATGTGAGGTGGTAGATGGTAGTCTATAGTCTTACCTGGTCTATATGTATAGTAGTAGTGTGAGGTGGTAGATGGAGTCTATAGTCTGGTCTATTGATATAGTAGTAGTGTGAGGTGGTAGATGGTAGTCTATTTACTGGTCTATATGTATATAGTAGTAGTGTGAGGTGGTAGATGGTAGCCTATAGTCTTACCTGGTCTATATGTATATAGTAGTGGTGTGAGGTGGTAGATGGTAGCCTATAGTCTTACCTGGTCTATATGTATATAGTAGTGTGTGAGGTGGTAGTGTATAGTCTATAGCTGGTCTATATGTATATAGTAGTGGTGTGAGGTGGTAGATGGTAGCTTAGTCTTACCTGGTCTATATGTATATAGTAGTAGTGTGAGGTGGTAGATGGTAGTCTATAGTCTTACCTGGTCTATATGTATATAGTAGTAGTGTGAGGTGGTAGATGGTAGCCTATAGTCTTACCTGGTCTATATGTATATAGTAGTAGTGTGAGGTGTGGTAGATGGTAGTCTATAGTCTTACCTGGTCTATATGTATATAGTAGTAGTGTGAGGTGGTAGATGGTAGCCTATAGTCTTACCTGGTCTATATGTATATAGTAGTAGTGTGAGGTGGTAGATGGTAGTCTATAGTCTGGTCTATATGTATATAGTAGTAGTGTGAGGTGGTAGATGGTAGTCTATAGTCTGGTCTATATGTATATAGTAGTAGTGTGAGGTGGTAGATGGTAGCCTATAGTCTTACCTGGTCTATATGTATATAGTAGTAGTGTGAGGTGGTAGATGGTAGCCTATAGTCTTACCTGGTCTATATGTATATAGTAGTAGTGTGAGGTGTGGTAGATGGTAGTCTATAGTCTTACCTGGTCTATATGTATATAGTAGTAGTGTGAGGTGGTAGATGGTAGTCTATAGTCTGGTCTATATGTATATAGTAGTAGTGTGAGGTGGTAGATGGTAGCCTATAGTCTTACCTGGTCTATATGTATATAGTAGTAGTGTGAGGTGTGGTAGATGGTAGTCTATAGTCTTACCTGGTCTATATGTATATAGTAGTAGTGTGAGGTGGTAGATGGTAGTCTATAGTCTTACCTGGTCTATATGTATATAGTAGTAGTGTGAGGTGGTAGATGGTAGTCTATAGTCTGGTCTATATGTATATAGTAGTGGTGTGAGGTGGTAGATGGTAGCCTATAGTCTTACCTGGTCTATATGTATATAGTAGTAGTGTGAGGTGGTAGCTGGTAGTCTATAGTCTTACCTGGTCTATATGTATATAGTAGTGGTGTGAGGTGGTAGATGGTAGCCTATAGTCTTACCTGGTCTATATGTATATAGTAGTAGTGTGAGGTGGTAGATGGTAGTCTATAGTCTTACCTGGTCTATATGTATATAGTAGTAGTGTGAGGTGGTAGATGGTAGCCTATAGTCTTACCTGGTCTATATGTATATAGTAGTAGTGTGAGGTGGTAGATGGTAGTCTATAGTCTTACCTGGTCTATATGTATATAGTAGTAGTGTGAGGTGGTAGATGGTAGTCTATAGTCTTACCTGGTCTATATGTATATAGTAGTAGTGTGAGGTGGTAGATGGTAGCCTATAGTCTTACCTGGTCTATATGTATATAGTAGTAGTGTGAGGTGGTAGATGGTAGCCTATAGTCTTACCTGGTCTATATGTATATAGTAGTAGTGTGAGGTGGTAGATGGTAGTCTATAGTCTTACCTGGTCTATATGTATATAGTAGTAGTGTGAGGTGGTAGATGGTAGCCTATAGTCTTACCTGGTCTATATGTATATAGTAGTAGTGTGAGGTGGTAGAGGGTAGCCTATAGTCTTACCTGGTCTATATGTATATAGTAGTAGTGTGAGGTGGTAGATGGTAGTCTATAGTCTGGTCTATATGTATATAGTAGTAGTGTGAGGTGGTAGATGGTAGCCTATAGTCTTACCTGGTCTATATGTATATAGTAGTAGTGTGAGGTGGTAGATGGTAGTCTATAGTCTTACCTGGTCTATATGTATATAGTAGTAGTGTGAGGTGTGGTAGATGGTAGTCTATAGTCTGGTCTATATGTATATAGTAGTAGTGTGAGGTGTGGTAGATGGTAGTCTATAGTCTGGTCTATATGTATATAGTAGTAGTGTGAGGTGGTAGATGGTAGTCTATAGTCTTACCTGGTCTATATGTATATAGTAGTAGTGTGAGGTGGTAGATGGTAGCCTATAGTCTTACCTGGTCTATATGTATATAGTAGTGGTGTGAGGTGGTAGCTGGTAGTCTATAGTCTGGTCTATATGTATATAGTAGTAGTGTGAGGTGGTAGATGGTAGTCTATAGTCTTACCTGGTCTATATGTATATAGTAGTAGTGTGAGGTGGTAGATGGTAGCCTATAGTCTTACCTGGTCTATATGTATATAGTAGTAGTGTGAGGTGGTAGATGGTAGTCTATAGTCTTACCTGGTCTATATGTATATAGTAGTAGTATGAGGTGGTAGATGGTAGCCTATAGTCTTACCTGGTCTATATGTATATAGTAGTAGTGTGAGGTGGTAGATGGTAGTCTATAGTCTGGTCTATATGTATATAGTAGTAGTGTGAGGTGGTAGATGGTAGCCTATAGTCTTACCTGGTCTATATGTATATAGTAGTAGTGTGAGGTGGTAGATGGTAGTCTATAGTCTTACCTGGTCTATATGTATATAGTAGTAGTGTGAGGTGGTAGATGGTAGCCTATAGTCTTACCTGGTCTATATGTATATAGTAGTAGTGTGAGGTGGTAGATGGTAGCCTATAGTCTTACCTGGTCTATATGTATATAGTAGTGGTGTGAGGTGGTAGATGGTAGCCTATAGTCTTACCTGGTCTATATGTATATAGTAGTAGTGTGAGGTGGTAGATGGTAGCCTATAGTCTTACCTGGTCTATATGTATATAGTAGTAGTGTGAGGTGTGGTAGATGGCCTTGAAGAGTCTTTGGAACTGTCGTGAGGCTCTGCCGTGGACCACCAGGACGAAGGCTATCCTGACAGGGGCCGACGGGGGGGCCTCTGACGAGTCCTCCTCCCACGCCACGTTGGCATTGGCCTTACCTGGACAACACAACAATAACATACAGAGACTTTTTAGTCATTCATACAGAAAATAAAATATGTACCTGTATGTAGAACTATCTTACGAGTCTTCCTCCCAGACGTTGGCATTAGCCTTATGTGGATAGACACAATAATAACACATTAGGTTTCATCGGCTATACTTCATACACTGTGAGGTATACTGAACATGTGCTGCAGTAACTCCAAAGATGAAGAAGACGAAGACGAAGACGAAGACGATATTACAAGGAGATGAGTTTCATTCAGTATGTGACATTGGCGTTATTTGAACCACGACTGGTCCTCTGTAGCTCAGCTGGTAGAGCACGGCGCTTGTAACGCCAAGGTAGTGGGTTCGATCCCCGGGACCACCCATATTCAAAAATGTATGCACGCATGACTGTAAGTCGCTTTGGATAAAAGCGTCTGCTAAATGGCATATTATATTATTATTATATTATATGACTAGCAAGGCCACAAGATGGGAATAGGAATCCTAGAACCATTCCTTTGGGTTTGGGGTGGAGTTCACTTGATAGTGTGTCATCATTGCTCTGTACCACACTCCCAAAATAAGACTTGGAAGTAAGTAGACAATAAATATTCCAACTCACAACACGAACAATTCCAGCTCTCTCCAGAAACCATTCTAAAAGCCACACAGATCCATATAGTGGTTGCTTTCATTCTAATACTAAACGCCTTAACAAATGACTTCCGCTCAGAGCCTCTCCTTTGGTTTTGTATTATGTTCTCCATCAGCAAATAAGTACTAGGTTGTTTTGTGTTCAAAGGGCCTATGGAATTACAGGAAACACAGCGCTTTATTGAGACGTTATGTTTGTTGACGACAGAGAGGATGAGGTTGTTCAGGAGATAATGACAGTAATCTGGTCCTCTGTGTTGTGAGGGAAGGGGACTTGGTTTCCCAGAGGGCAGTGGGGGACAATGTCACGACTCGCTATGGTCCCTGAATGGGCAGAAAAGAGGGGAGAAGATGGTGGGTGCTTTCACCCTCTTAGGGTGTGCTGTCCCTGGGGTAAAAAGATCACAAGGTGCCCCTCCCCTTCTGGCTCTTTCTTCCTTTTGTCTGGACAAGCTAGGCTCCTACTGCTGTCCTGTAATTATCTCAATTGAAGGGAAGGACCCTTTTCTGGCTTGTATTTAAAGGCTAACAACAGGGGCGGGGCTACAGACATGCTTCCGTGACTCCAATTGGCCATGCCTCCTGTCCTTCCCTCAATCATCCAATTCTCCCCAGGAATGATCGTTTTATTCATAGTTTGGTTACTATGAATCCTGGTTATTCATATTGAGTATTGAATGTAATGTGGTTGGAAAAGTGTGAGTGTGTGTGTGAAAGAGAGAGCGTGTGTGTGTCTGTGTGTGTGTGTTACTATGAAGCCTGGCTGTGCCTATGGGATATTTAATGTGAATGTGGTTGGTTGCAAATAACTATAATTACTAGAATGGGCAATCCCCATTCAAGTCAGTGGGTCTGTGATTGGTGATTCTATTTCTATGGTTGGTTGGCTGGTTGGTTAGTTGACAGTGCTGGGTGAATATGTTTCTGCAGTGGCGCACACACACACACACACACACACGTCTTGTTCTTCTATCCTTGTGGGGACCTAAAATGTATTTCTATTCAAAATCCTATTTTCCCTAACCCCTAACCCTAAATCTAACCCTAACCCTTAGATTAACCCGTAACCCAAACCGTAAACCTAACTCCTAAACCTAACCACTAACCCCTTACCCTAATCCTAATTTGAACCCTAACCCTAATTGTAACCCTAACCCTAAACCTAACCCCTAAGCTTAAAATAGCCTTTGTCCTCAAGGAGAATTTTCCTTGTTTTACTATCCTTGTGGGGACTTTTGGGGATTTTAGCTCCCCACAAGGATAGAAGAACCAACCCCCCCGCACCCCCCCCCCCCCCCCCACACACACATTGAACATTAATTGGTAGGCAGCTCGGGAGGTTCACTGGCTAGCTTGGCGCTAGGCTAATTGGCAGAGCGCATCACCAAGCACTTTGAGGCGTGTGCTATGCTAGCTAGCTGAACTAATGAGCCAATGTGCTGTGTGTCTCTACAGCTACAGGAGCTTGATAGGTCTAAAAAAGCCTGACTCTGCCACATCCCTTTTTCCTCTCTCCCATCGCCATCAATCTTTCAAACTGCCTCTCCCTCATCTGCTATCAGCTCTCTCGCTCCATCATTTAATTCTCCTCTCTCTCTCTCTCCATCATCTTGTGTAACTTCAGCAGCTCATGGCCGTCCATCTTAACCAGTCATGCGAGAGGTTGGAAGAGCAGAGGAGCAGAAATGTCCTTTAAGTTTCCAATATTAAAGTCCTTTAATGTAACTCTGTAAATCAGCTCAGTGCCAACGAAGGATCCAACTAAAGTCTTACCTGACTAGCTTATACTTTGTTCTAGAAGTAGGTCTTATAGAACAGAAATTAATAAAAAAAAAGTTACTTTTTTTATGAGCAACAAGTGAATAAGCCTCGAATGATGTTACCTGCTACGTATTTAGGGGTGACCGAACATGCAAGGTCATTGGCTGACAACTGACATCAGCCAATGATGACGCCAGTTCCATCCCACATATTACAACAATGTAGACATTAGACAATAGCCCAGCTAGCATATAGAGGCTCTGCTAATGCTAACATATTCCCTCTCATATCCTATGGAGCCGGCTGCGCGCTAACACAGCCAACTCTTCAAGGACAGAATACCGATGAAATCAAATTGGACAATTTGTAGCTAACAAGGTTAGTGCCTCAAATTCAGATTGGTGCATCGGAGACATGGAGAGAGAGCGAGAGAGAGAGAGAGCTAACGAGGTTAGGGCCTCAAATTCAGATTGGTGCATCGGAGACATGGGTAGAGAGAGAGAGAGAGAGAGAGAGAGAGAGAGAGAGAGAGAGAGAGAGAGAGAGAGAGAGAGAGAGAGAGAGAGAGAGAGAGAGAGAGATGGAGCAAGACAGAGACTGAGAGAGAGAGGGAGACATCGAGAGAGAGAGAGAGAGGGAGGAGAGAACAACATTGTGGCAGACGACAGAACAGACAGAGGGAGTGAAAAATAAAAAGTTATTTAATTTAGCTGTCCGCGTTGTTACACGACGCCACCCGGGAGAAGCCCTTTTCAATTTCCCCGTCTCCTTTGATCAAACTGTCAGTTGGAGTGGGATGACGATGGTGAATCTAGGGAGACGACATGAGCTTATTCACTGATAGACAAGCATTGGTTTATATCTTGGGGAATATGTATCCTCGCTTATATTGCTGTACATAACAAAGTTGCACAGTCATGGTGGACTCACAAGGTGCAGTCATGGTGGACTCACAAGGTGCAGTCATGGTGGACTCACAAGGTGCAGTCATGGTGGACTCACAAGGTGCAGTCATGGTGGACTCACAAGGTGCAGTCATGGTGGACTCACAAGGTGCAGTCATGGTGGTCTCACAAGGTGCGTTGGCACCCTATTCAAAAGTAGTGCACTTATAAGTGACTATGGTGCAATTTCAGACGCATCCATTGGAATAGTCACAGACAGACAAGCATTACTTTCCATCTTATGGAAGTGTAGCCTGCACTGTCCTGTAGCCTACAAAGTGACACAGTCATTGTGGGCGGACAGAATGTGGTTATGTCTGGTTATGTCTGGTTATGTCTGGTTATGTCTGGCCAGATGTCCATATATCGTTTTTAGCTTTTTTCTCCTTTCCTCCACATGTCCTCCATACACACCTCTGTGTGTGTGTGTGTGTGTGTGTGTGTGTGTTGTTCCTTTAAACATTGATGCGTGGTGCCCACTGATGGTGGCAAGCTCACAGATTTTGTTTACAGGAGTCTTCTGCCAACCTGCAGATGTTCAACCAGTCTACTTGGAAAAATGTGTGTGAGGTGTGTGTGTGTGTGTGTGTGTGTGAGTGAGTAAGAGAGAGAGAGAAAGAAAGAGGGTGAAAAAGCGAAAGAGTTTGTGTGTTCCTGTGTGTATTCGTCTGTCTGTGTGTGGTTATTAGTGTGCATGTGTGTGTGTGTGTGTGTGTGTCTGTCTATGTGTGTGTGTGTGTGTGTGTGTGTGTGTGTGTGTGTGTGTGTGTGTGTGTGTGTGTCAGTCTGTGTGTGCGAGCTTGCATTTCTGTGGCCAGCTTGGCTGAACGGAATGAAAATTGGAAAGCAATTTGGTGTAAAAAAAAGCGTCTTCCATTCTTTCGCACAAATTTCTCATTAGCCGAGAAACACATTTCTTCCCTGACTTTGATATGAATTGGAATTATTAGCAGTAAAACAACAGGAAGTGTAGTGTGCGTGTGTTTGTATATGTGTGTATCTCTGTGTGTGTGTGTGTGTGCAGCTTTTATTTCAGCTTCAGGGGATATTGTGTTTTCCTGTTGTAAAAATAGATAATATGGTCCTAAATTTTACATTTTTAGTCATTTAGCAGACGCTCTTATCCAGAGCGACTTACAGTTAGTGAGTGCATACATTATAATTTTTTTGATTTAATTTTTTATACTGGCCCCCCATGGGAATCGAACCCACAACCCTGGCGTTGCCAACGCCATGCTCAACCAACTGAGCTACCTCCCTGCCGGCCATTCCCTCCCCTACCCTGGACGACGCTGGGCCAATTGTGCGCCGCCCCATGGGTCTCCCGGTCGCGGCCGGCTACGACAGAGCCTGGATTCGAACCAGGATCTCTAGTGGCACAGCTAAATGGCACCCTTTTCCCTACATAGTGCTCTACTTTTGACCAAAACCCTATTAGCCCTGGTCATAAGAAGTGGACGATAAAGGGATTAGAGTGCCATTTGGGAGCAGTATACCCAAACTGTTCACCCCAGTATACCCAAACTGTTCACACTCAGTATACCCAAACTGTTCTACACCCAGTATACCCCAACGGATTTCACGCCACGTATACCCAAACTGTTCACATCAGTATACCAAACTGTTTCACACCAGTATACCCAAAAATGTTCACAGCCCAGTATACCAAACTGTTCACATCTCGTATACCCAAATGTCCACCCAGTAGACCCAAACTGTTGAACACCCAGTATACCCAACTGTTCACACCATATTACCAAAAAGTTGCACCCCAGATACCCAAACTGTTCACACCCAGTATACCCAAAAAAAAAAACTGTTAACCCAGTATACCCAAAATGTTCACCCCCAGTATACACAAACGTTCACACCCAGTATACCCAAAAAATGTTCACAACAGTATACCCAATTAACTGGTTACACTAGTATACCCAAACTGTTCAAACCCAGTATACCCAACACTGTCACACTAAGTATACCCAAAACTGTTCACACCCAGTATACCCAAAATTTGGTCACACCCAGGATACCCAAACTGTTCACCCCCCAGTATACCCAAACTGTTCACACCCAGTTACCCAAAAAGTTCACACCCAGTATACCCAAACTGTTCACACTCAGTATACCCAAACTGTTCACACTCAGTATACCCAAACTGTTCACACCCAGTATACCCAAACTGTTCACAGCCAGTATACCCAAACTGTTCACACCCAGTATACCCAAACTGTTCACACTCAGTATACCCAAACTGTTCACACTCAGTATACCCAAACTGTTCACACCCCCTTATACCCACACTGTTCAACCAGTATACCCAAACTGTTCACACTCAGTATACCAAACTGTTCACACCCAGTATACCCAAACTGTTCACACCCAGTATACCAACTTTCACACTCCAGTAAAAAACCAAACTGTTCACCACCCAGTTTACGCAAACTGTTCACCACTCAGTATACCCCAACTGTCTCACACTCAGTATACCCCAAACTGTTCACCACCCGTATACCCAAACTGTTCACACCCGTATACCCAAACTGTTCACACCCAGTATACCCAAACTGTTCACACCAGTATACCCAAACTGTTCACACTCAGTATACCCAAACTGTTCACACCCAGTATACCCAAACTGTTCACACTCAGTATACCCAAACTGTTCACACCAGTATACCAAACTGTTCACACCCAGTATACCCAAACTGTTCACACCCAGTATACCCAAACTGTTCACACCCAACAAACCCAAACTGTTCACACCCAGTATACCAAACTGTTCACACCAGTATACCCCCAAACTGTTCACAGCCCAGTATACCCAACTGTTCACAACCAGTATACCCCAAACTGTTCACACCCAGTATACCCAAACTGTTTCACACCAGTAACCCAAACCCGTTCACACCCAGTATACCCAAACTGTTCACACCCAGTATACCCAAACTGTTCACACCAGTATACCCAAACTGTTCACAGCCAGTATACCCAAACTGTTCACAGCCAGTATACCCAAACTGTTCACACCCAGTATACCCAAACTGTTCACAGCCAGTATACCCAAACTGTTCACACCAGTATACCAAACTGTTCACACCCAGTATACCCAAACTGTTCACACTCAGTATACCCAAACTGTTCACACCAGTATACCCAAACTGTTCACACCCAGTATACCCAAACTGTTCACACCCAGTATACCCAAACTGTTCACACCCAGTATACCAAACTGTTCACACCCAGTATACCCAAACTGTTCACACTCAGTATACCAAAATGCTCACACCCAGTATACCCAAACTGTTCACACCCAGTATACCAAACTGTTCACACCAGTATACCCAACTGTTCACACTCCAGTATACCCAAACTGTTCACACCCAGTATACCCAAACTGTTCACACTCCAGTATACCCAAACTGTTCACACTCAGTATACCAAACTGTTACACCCAGTATACCCAAACTGTTCACACTCAGTATAACCAAATGCTTTACACCAGTAAAACCCAAACTGTTCACACCCCAGTATACCCAAATGTTCACACCCCAGTATACCCAACTGTTCACACCAGTATACCCAAACTGTCCACCGTTACCCAAAATCAACCCAGTATACCCCAACGTTCACACCAGTATACCCAACTGTTCACACACATATACCAAACTGTTCACACCCGTATACCAAACTCAGTTACACAGTCTCCAACTGTTCCCCCAGTATACCAAAGTTCACACCATATACCCACACTGTTCACGCCCGTACCTCAATTAACCAAATTAACCCAGTATACCCAAACGTTCACACCAGTATACAAAATACCAAACCCAACTGTTCACCCATATACTGTTCCACTCATCTACCAAACAGTATATACTGTTACTACAGTAACAGTAGTAACAGTATATCTATTAACTCACCCTCTATGGGACAGTAGCGGGTGACCTTCTCAGGCATCAGTTGACCCTCCTTGTGTCTGCAGTACACCTCAGCTATCTGCTGCCGGCACTCCTTGGTCTTGGCTCTAGACAGAGCTGAAATGGCTTCCTTCCCACTGATCTCACACTTTGGCGGCTGGTCGTAGACGACCTCCAATGGAGCCGCAGTCGCCTGCTTCTTGGTTTGATGCGGGTGTTGGTGTCTATGTTGAGTCTTGGGGTGGGACTGTGACTGGGGGTGAGACTGAACCTGACCCTGGCTCTGTGGCTGTGAAGAGCGGGTGTGGTGGTTCCTGGAGCCCACCCCCGCCAACCCGGCTCCAATCGCTTTCGGGCCCACAGGAAGTGAGCCATTCTGGGCTACGGCTCGTCCATACTGGAGGACCTCGTTCGAGCTCCGGCTGAGAATGGGAGCGTTATCCTTCCAGGCTGCCTGTTGGGCATGGGCATTCTCCTGCAGCTTCTCCCTGCGTTTGTTACTACTAGCGCCCCCTGGGGGCTGGCGCTGGGGCTGCGAGCGGGCACCAAAGTTACTATTGTCTATGTTCTCAAAGTCTTTGGGCACAGAGTTCTCATTGTTGCTGTCCACTCTGACCTTCTCCTTGGGCCGGTGGGAATAGTAGCCATCCTGTGAGAAGAGGAGAGGGAGAGAGGAGATTCGTTTTATTGTTGTTTGTTTATATTTGAACGTAATGTAAGTCGCTCTGGATAAGAGCGTCTGCTAAATGACGTAAATGTAAATGTAATGTAATTTAACCAAGAGAGTCAGTTAAGAACAAATTCATATTTACAATGATGGGAAAAAGGAAGAATGGAGAAAAGGAGAGAGAAGGGAGAATGAGGAAGGGGAAAGTGCCTTGAAGTTCACCCTTTTCCTTGGTGGGGCCGCCGGACGGATCCGTCGCATCCTGCCGTCCCCGGGGCAGGAAAAAGGCATGATAATGGGATAGGGGGGCCAAACATGCAGAACCAGATCCGTGGTGAGTGAGTCAGTGAGGCGCATATCAAATGTCAGATTACCAATCAACACGCCACACACACCAAGCAGCTTAACAGAACCAAGAGGCATGAAATTAAGTAGCATTAACTTATTGACTCCCTCCGCTCCCTGCCACAACACAACAAGGTGCAGCCTGACTGGCTGACTGGGTCTATCGCCACGGTGACGACGGGGACGAGGACTACTTTCTGTGGCTGTGTGCGTGTCATCATCAGATTAGCACCGATTTCAATTAACTTCTCCCCTGACATGCCTGTCACCCCATAAACAGATTACCAAGGGGGATAAAGCACCGGAATGTGATTTGCGTGTGTGTGGTGTGTGTGTGTGTGTGGTGTGCGTATGTGTGTGTTTGTGTTGTGTGTGTGTGTGTGTGTGTGTGTGTTTGTGGTGTGTGTGTGTGTGTGTGTGTGTGTGTTTGTTTGTGGTGTGTGTGTGTGTTTGTGTGTGTGTGTAAGGATTCAGGGAACGCACGTATTCTCGGTTTCCACATTCTCTGGAGCCATGTGATGATGTGATGGAATTACAATAGTGTGGCGTGTGACAGGGAGGCAGTGTGTGTGTCGTCGCCGGGTGTGTGTGTGTGCAGCCCATGTTTGTGTGCTTTGAGCCAAGATCTGAATGTAAAATGTTCCCATCTTTCCACCAGATCAAGCCGAGAGGGAGGGAGGGATGGAGAGAGGGAGAGGGGGGTGACAAGGAGGAGAGGAGAGCGTTGACATGCGGGAGAGTTCTGCTGCACCTCGGAAGCACTCGCTTCACTGAAATGTTCCCCGACGCATCAAATGGAACAGGCGAGAGAGCTGCCTCTGCCTACCTGGCTGAGACACCGTGAAACACACACACTTCGCTAGACAGGCCGAGGGCGAGAGAGGAGAGCAAATGTGTGTGTGTGTGTGTGTGTGTGTGTGTGTGTGTGTGTGTGTGTGTGTGTGTGTGTGTGTGTGTGTGTGTGTGTGTGTGTGTGTGTGAGAGAAAGGGCAAAGAACAACGGCGGTGGGAGAGGATATACAGTACAAGCTGAGGCACTTGATGTGTCTCTCTGTTTACAGTCACAGCTGATAGAGAGAGAGAGAGAGAGAGAGAGAGAGACAGCGAGAGAGAGAGACAGAGAGGGAGAGAGAGAGAGAGAGAGAGAGAGACAGTGAGAGAGAGAGAGACAACGAGAGAGTGAGAGAGAGACAGTGAGAGAGAGAGACAGTGAGAGAGAGAGAGACAGCGAGAGAGGAGAAAGACGAGAGATGCTATGGAGAGAGAGAGAGAGAGAGAGAGAGAGAGAGAGAGAGAGAGAGAGAGAGAGAGAGAGAGAGACAGCAAGAGAGGAGAAAGACGAGAGATGCTATGGAGAGAGAGAGAGAGAGAGACATAATATGACATTTGAAATGTCTTTATTCTTTTGAAACTTCTGAGTGTAATGTTTACTGTTCATATTCATTGTTTGTTTCACTTTTGTTTACTATCTACTTCACTTGCTTTGGCAATGTTAACATACGTTTCTCATGCCAATAAAGCCCTTAAATTGAATTGAAATTGAAATTGAGAGAGAGAACAAATGGAGAGCAAGACATGGAGAGAGCAGGCAGAGAATGAGTGAAAGTGAGCAAATGAGGGAGAGGGAGAGAGAGCGGTGAAAAGGATAGAGAGAGAAGAGAGGGAGAGAGGGAGCAAGAAATGGAGAGTGAGAGAGAAAGATGGAGCAAGGAGTGAGAAAAGCAAGACAGAGAGAGAGAGAGAGAGAGAGAGAGAGAGAGAGAGGTGAAAATGAGAGACAGAGAGAGGCGAGAAACAGTATTGTGAGAACACTGCTCGGGATGGAAATGTGTTTCCCTCCCTTAAAGCCAGGGCTGTTATCAGCACATCAACCTTGCCTCTCTGCAAACACCTTGTGTCTGAGACTATTACAGAGGTGGAAGACTGAGACAGAGACAAGTAGGGAGACAGAAGAGGAGGGAGGGAGGGAGAGAGAGGGGGGGGGAGGGGGGGTGGAGAGAGGGGAAGGGGCGGACATTTATGCGAGATTTATGATAGATCTTTCTAATCGTTTGCATAGCATTCTCACTGTCAGTTCTCTCTCTCAATTATATTCAATTAAAAGGGGCTTTATTGACATGGGAAACATATGTTTACAAAGCAAGTGGAATAAACAATAAACAAAAATGAGAAGAAACAAAAAAACACAAACCCCCAAAATGGAAATGAACAGTAAACACTGCACTCACAAAGGTGTACAATTAAATTCAATCCAATTGGCTTTATTGGCATGGGAAACGTGTTTACATTGCCTAAGCAAGTGAAATAGACAATCCACAAAAATGGAAATAAACAATCCGAAATAAACAGTAAACATTACACTCACAAATACAGACATTTCATATTATTGGCTATGTACAGTGTTGTAACAATGTGCAAATAGATGAAGTACCCTCTTTATCACACCACCCGATCCTCTGAAACCTCCAGCACAATCACATCACCTCCACCCCTCCTGCTTCCACAACTGGGTCACCTCCTCTCTCCTCTCTCCTCCCTTCTCCTCTCTCCTTTCCTTCACGTGTGTGTGTGTGTGTGTGTGTGTGTGTGTGTGTGTGTGTGTGTGTGTGTGTGTGTGTGTGTGTGTTTGTGGCAGTTCACAGATGCTGTGTTATACCGGCTGAGATAATAAATGTTAGAAGCTGTTCATCCTTAATGTAACAGCTGCCCTGCACCACTGATCACCCTAAAATATCCCACTCGCCCATATTCAAAGAGCCCGCTTCTAGAGGCTAATCCAAAGTACGCTAGTCATAGGATGTTTTAGGAAGTTTAAAAGAGTACAGGGGGAGGAGAGAGAGGGGGAAAAGTCGAGTTAGAAAGAGCACGTTTGCCCTAGAGTAACGGATATCCCTGGTTTTGCGTGGGCCGTGAGAGACATGAGAAAAAGGGACACGGTTGGAATTGCAGGAAAGCCCAAATACAAATGCATTAAATCTGCTGTCTTCATCTTTTAACTGTCTCTATTTGAAAGAGAAAACTGTTGAGCCCTACAGCACAGCAGGCCTCTGGCTAAATCAACAGGGTTGTTCTCTGATCTGTGAATCAGTGGATTTAATAAGGCATTTTTGCATTCAAAAGTAAAAAAAAAAGGTTGTATAATGAAACCGAGGGGTGAATATCATTCACATGTGGAGAAATAAATACTCTGTTCTTATCTCTTCATCTCTCTCTTCTCTCTTTCCCTCTATCTCTTCGTCTCTTCCTGATTCCTCTCCCTCTCTCTCCTCCTGGTCCCTGGTCCCTGCCCTCTATCTCTCTTTCAACTGCCCTTAATTTGCTCTCTCTCTCTCCTCTCTCTCTCTCTCTCTCTCTCATCTCTCTCTCTCTCTCTCTCTCTCTCTCTCTCTCGCTCTCCCCACACTCCTAACCCACTCGCTTACCTCAACCTCAACCCCATCCGACCGCATCCGTCCCCTCCATCATCTACTCTCCTTCTCTTCTCCTCTCCTTCTCTCTCTTCCACTCTCTGCTCTCTCTCGCTCCCCACTTCTCGCTCCCCTCTCCCCCTCCCTCTCCCTCTCGTCGCTCTCCTCTCTCTCTCCTCTCTCTCTCTCTCTCTGCTGCTTTCTCCTGTCTCTCTCGGTCTCCTCCTCTCCTCCCTCTCCCTCTCATCCTCCTCCCCTCTCTCCTCTCCCTCTTCCCTCCTCTCTCTCTCTCTCCTCTTCTCTTCTCTCTCTCTCTCTCTCACTCTCTCTCTTTCTCTCCTGCATTTAAAGGACCTCTCTCTTTAATCTCAGTCTGTATTTAACTCTGTGGGGACAGAGAAGGGGACTCGTAGAGAGGAAAGGATCGGGCAATGCACAATTAATAGCCCGGGGATGGTGAGGCTAGGAAGCTAGGCCATTAGGGTGTGTGTGTGTGTGTGTGTATGTGCTTGGCTATCGATCGCTAGAGGGAATCTGTCTTATCCTACCCAGGGTGCTTTGGGGAGGCCAAGCCTGATTTGCCTGACATGCGCTCGATTACTACACCTCCTCTCAACCCCCTCGCCCCCAATCGCTCAGCTAGAGAGAATGCAAGCAGGTAAAGGGTAAACGTTTGGGCAATCCATCATTGCAGGTAGCAGGGATGGGGCAATGGAGTGAGGGCCCGAGGCTGAGACTCTGACTGAACCACCCCCACCTACAAAGGATGGTTTAGTCCATTTTTCATACTCTACACCTCATACCGGCTCATTCCATTTACCTCATTTCCTTTACCACAGGGGAGAGAGGGAGATACTTCATCTGGACTGCTCCTCTCTCTCTCTCTCTCTCTCTCTCTCTCTCTCTTCCCCAATCTCCTTTCAACTTCATATCTCTCACACCACAGCTGCTCAGGCATACCCACTCTCCCTCTCCTCCTCCCCTCATCTCTCACTCCAGGGGGGAAATCTGTTCATTTCTCATATTCTAGCTGCACACTGGCAATACCCCTCCCTCCCTCCTTCCCTCCCTCCCTCCTCCATCCCTATTGCCATTTACTGTACTGGTCCCCTGGTGAACCTTAGCTAGCAGCAGCAGCACTGAACACATCACTTTAAATCTGGCCCTCATTTTACTGGCCATTTCTCCCCCATGGGGCCAACTCAGATGAGCTGTGGCTTCCATACACACTCCATCAACTGCTATCTGACAAAACTCTCTCTCTCTGCACACATGCACGCGCGCACACACACACACACACACACATTCCATCAATCGGTTAACTACAGCTGTTTCTATCTCTTTTTCTCTGCAGAGAAACATGCCATCTCTGCAAGGCTATGACATAGCAGCTATGGAACTGGCCCTCTGGGTAATGAGGAGAGCTGGTCAATAATGGGGAAAACATAAAGTGATAAGCATTCCTGTACTGATGAAAATCAGCAGCACTTACATTACGATTTGTAATACAATAGCTACAATGCTAAAGTAAGTCTCTGTTTGTAAGGTTGGGATACTGAAACATCAACTATGAGGTGATACTAAAGAATGAGAACATGGAGCTCCAGAAGTAAACTGAGAGACAGAAGAGAAAGAGAGACATCCCACTCGCTAATCTATTCTGGTTCATATACAGTCAATGAACTAAACAGACCAGACCCAGCTGCTAATGCATTGGTGCCTATGGGAGAGCCACCCCATTAAGCAGACCGGTCTGGAACTGACCATTTTTTCCAATGGTAAACGGCCTGAGTGGAACGTCTTCATTTATCCACTATCTTTGGTAAACCATCATCTCAAATCAGTTCACACATCAGTCTCCTGCCTATCTGCCTCGTCAGCCATGACTAATCAAACTGGCCTGCTGTATGTAGGTTAGCAGGCTACAAGACCACACATGACACGTGCTGCTGGATCATTCATCATATACTTAGCTCCTCACAGGTGAGCCGCCCGGTCACGGTGATCAGGCACGCTGTGGGGCAGCCTCAGTCAGCAGTCAGGACACCCTGCTGTGTCGTTAAGGCTCTTTCATCATTTCCTGGATTTAAAAAGCGCTGATCCCTGTGCCAGCCCGCTTCCTGTTACGAACCACTGACACTAGCTACAAACACTACAAGAACACGGCTGCAGACCTGCGTATAGTATTTGAACCCAGGTCTGCTCCAAGCTGCAATATGTCTCATATCAACTGTTTAAGCCACATTACTTCTTGCCTCAACGCACGTGTATTCATTTGTATACTTAGAGTATACTTAGAGCACAGGAGGCTCCTGAGGGGAGGACGGCTCATATTAATGGCTGGAAAGGAGTGAATGGAAGGGTATCAAAATCTGGAAACCATGTTTTGGATGTATTTGATGCCATTCGACTCATTCCGCTCCAGCCATTACCACGAGCCCATCCTCCCCAATTAAGGTGCCACCAACCTCCTGTGACTTACAGCATACTGAGTATGTTGCAAGAGATATCAACCTTGGTTATTAGGATAAGAGCTGTGTCTTTTAGTTGATGCTTAAAGTGTTTTCAACATTTTACAATGTGCTTTTAACTCATACCTGAACATCATTTTTCCTCCCGGAACATTACGGAGTGCTCAAGATTACTCAGAGCACTGTGCCAACCTTTCCTTTTCTCACTATTTCCCTCCCTCCCTCCCTTCTATTCTCTCTCTCTTTCATGTCTCGGCTGAAGGAATGCTGGTCACATGCATTGTGTGTGTGTGTATATGTGTAGCCATGCTGAATGAGCTGCGAGAGTCTTTGGTATACGCGGCAGCCTCTTGTTGTGTGCTCTGTGACACACCCACACACACACACACACTTCAATAAATAGCTTTCAGATACAGTGTGTGATACTGTTACACTGAAAATGTGAGGCGTTATGCCACCAATCCCCTGACTGTGAAAAATAGGCAGCAATATCAGGAAAAACTCCAGGAGAGAAAATGGCCCTTGAGACTGGCTTCTCTCTTTGCAAAGAGAAATGTTTACCTCAGAAAACACATCCAGTACAAAGCAGCCTCTATACAACTCAACAACATAGCTCTTTAGGGTAACTTCAAGTGGACAAGTCTTTCCATGCTCCCCTTCTATCTAGTATGCAAAGAAGTAACTGGTTGCTCCTCAAAAATACCAACTGAACTTCTCAGAAAAGCTTTTTCAGCTAATTTGGGGATTTTAAACAGCCGAACTTCAAAGGCTACTGTAGTTCTAGAAATGAATGTTTAAAATGTGGACATTTTCAACGTCTGGTGTTGGGACATTTTCATATGTCAATTATGTGGTCGTAATGTAGCCTCCAAACTGGAAACACGTCGGTTCATATACTGGGCAAACTAAACAACATCTCAGTCCAAAATCCATAAATAGAAACAAAAGAAACTGGAACTATCAACTAAAACTTCCTCAAAAAAGATACATCATGTTTCACACATAGAGGAAAACCGATCCACTTCCTTTAAAAACCACACGCTTATAAAAAATATAAAAAGCCCAAAATATGAAAAAGCCTCATTGAGAAACAGGAGGAAACAGTGTGGAGAGGCTGATTTGCAGTAAAGATATTAATCTGATTCCCTATGGGGGAGCTCCTACTTATAGAGATTTCCTAAGCAGGTTTACTAGAGTGAAAATGAAAGATAAGGGTCTGCTTCCCAAATGGCACCATATTCCCTACATAGTGCACTACTTTTCACCAGAGCCCTATGGGCACTGGTCAAAAGTAGTGCAATACATATGGAATAGGGCGCAATTTGGGACATATCGGGGGTATTCTGGAGCTCTATGGGAGTTCACCTTTCCCTGGGCAATCTCCAATCTGCAGCTGAAAATGGCCCCTCAGACGTTACATAACATGTATTAGTCATACAGCAATCTGCAGCTGAATATGGTTGCAGCTGAATATGTCTGCAGCCACTAAAGACTGTAGCTGCCATGTACTCCAAGCCCCCTCAGACTGATCGTCATCCAGACTGTATCATATGTATTAGTCATGAAGATGCAGTAGTATTTATGGAGGATATTACATTGGGGTCAATTATATTTAAACTCCCCCAGACAGTTGAGGAAAATGAATTGAAAGTGACTTGGTGAGGTGAAAATTGCCTGTGATTCATAGAAATTACATGTTGCTTTTTTCTATTTCATTGAGTTGTGCTGAAATAGATTTGATATAAAAAAAGACCCTGTATGATCCATTCTACTTAACAGGGTAAGATAGGACGTAAACTCAGCAAAAAAAGAAACGTCCTCTCACTGTCAACTGTGTTTATTTTCAGCAAACTTAACATGTGTAAATATTTGTATGAACATAACAAGATTCAACAACTGAGACATAAACTGAACAAGTTCCACAGACATGTGACTAATAGAAATGGAATAATGTGTCCCTGAACAAAGGGGGGGTCAAAATAAAAAGTAACCGTCAGTATCTGGTGTGGCCACCAGCTGCATTAAGTACTGCAGTGCATCTCCTCCTCATGGACTGCACCAGATTTGCCAGTTCTTGCTGTGAGATGTTAACCCACTCTTCCACCAAGGCACCTGCAAGTTCCCGGACATTTCTGGAGTGAATGGCCCTAGCCCTCACCCTCCGATCCAACAGGTCCCAGACGTGCTCAATGGGATTGAGATTCGGGCTCTTCGCTGGCCATGGCAGAACACTGACATTCCTGTCTTGCAGGAAATCACGCACAGAACGAGCAGTATGGCTGGTGGCATTGTCATGCTGGAGGGTCATGTCAGGATGAGCCTGCAGGAAGGGTACCACATGAGGGAGGAGGATGTCTTCCCTGTAACGCACAGCGTTGAGATTGCCTGCAATGACAACAAGCTCAGTCCGATGATGCTGTGACACCGCCCCAGACCATGACGGACCCTCCACCTCCAAAACGATCCCGCTCCAGAGAGCAGGCCACGGTGTAACGCTCATTCCTTCGACGATAAACGCGAATCCGACCATCACCCCTGGTGAGACAAAACGGTGACTTGTCAGTGAAGAGC